GAAAAAAAGGGATTTTTTGATTTTTTAAATTAATTTTTTCATTGGAATTCGCATGAAAAATTAAGAAAAATTAATGATAATATTTGAAAATCAAAAAATAATATATAATACTTTTTTAAATTTTTGGAAATTTATTTACCATTTATTTTATTATTTACCATTGCCTTTTAAATATGATATCATATTTATCACCATAATCATCTAACAGAATTAACCACTCACTCACCAATCAGTTTGGTGAGCTCCACTGGTTGTTTAGGTGGCAGTAACCTCTTGCCAAAAGGTCACTTGTGAAGAAAAATATGGCTGGATCTCCCGCAGCATTTTATGGTATATGAATGGATGATTTGATAAATAGAAATTCAAAAACTTCTAAGATGAGAAATTCAAAAAAAGCATTGGAAATTTACGATTTTCTATCCGGAATTTGAAATAAGTTGAGTGACTGATTAATAAAGACATGAGGTATGAGTTTCAAATCTGAGGTAATGACTTCGTTAGTCCTCAAATATGCCATAAAAGTTATTTTCTCAGTGTATTTCATCTAATTTAGGCGATAGAGCGACTGAAGGACGGAAAATGGTTATCTTTTGAAAATGCAGTTTTCAAGGGCATTTTTTACGATAAATATTCTTCATTGCTTGTGAATTTTAAGAAAGTGCCATATAAAACTGTGTTACCCTAGCAAAAAAGGAATTTGTTCTGATTTTATAGGATAAAAATTCCGTTAAACAACATATTGAATTCATAAAAAGCAAAAACATTAATGTAAAATCATCTGCCTATTGCTTTTCATCGATTTTTTTTCAGAATTTAGAAACAGCGAAGCTGAATGAGCAAAATCATGAAATTATAACCCAATAATTGTGCCTAATGATGATTGGAATGCCTTAGATCTGAACATAAACCAATATTAATGCGTAAATAGCTTAATTTAATTAAACATAGATTTGTCTAGACCAATTTTGTTTATTATCAGTAGATTAAAATCAGTAGAAATGTGCTACTCATAATTTTTACAACTTGGCCCTGATTCATCAAAAATCTTGATAAATTGTTTTTTTAGCAACTTCGATGCAACATAAGCGACTGAAGAAAAGGAAAAAACCTAAATACATGCATTCCTAATATGCATCCATGGTACTAATTTCCTATTAAATTACTTCATGTAAATTCGTTATTATTCAAATTTAAAAAACTGCTTCATTAAAAAATTATAAAAATTAAATTATATTTAGGATATTCGAATTATATTTGAAATGCCTGAATTTCTTAAATAAATTCTCAAATAGCTTTCGAATCTGAAATAAAACTAAAAACTCGAAAAAATGAAATTCGAATTGAAAAAATTCGAATTCGTTCGATTTCCGGCAAATTCATTAAGAAAAGATAATATAACTATAATTTTTATGATTTTGGTAAAATCTTTATTGGTTTAGAATGGCGTGAATTTATTCACGCACTGGAGACGTGTGAGAAAGGGTGCTCAAATTCCCATAAATTCCTTAATTACTGCGACTTACTCACTCACTTGATTTGTTTTTAAAGCATCAAAATTAGATCAAATCTAAAATCAATTTTTGCCATTTAATTTTTCCGGGAATTATTATGCATTTATTTTTCTACTTTTTCAACAACTTTTTCAATGAATAAAATTGGTTAAATTTACTTTTGTTTTTTCTTTTGTTAAAACTTTTTTGATAAAAAACTAATATTTATACGATTCGAGCTGTACTGAGTTTTTTTAAAAATTCCTCCCATTTTTTAAATTTAGAAATTTTTTAAAATTTCAACAATTCCTATGCCTTGATTATTTAATTTTAATGGTTTTTTCAAGCATTTTTTAAATGGGAGGAATTTTTTAAATGAATTTCTTGAAATGGTATTAAAGAATTTTATGATTGGAAATTAGTTACAAAAATTTTGTCACTTGAAGAACCAAAAGTTTTCTAAGTCAAACAAAATTTTTCAAAATGTGAAAAAGGTAAGATAAAGGTAAAAAAGGTAAGGTAAAAATTTTTGCAGTAAAAATCTAAGGAATTTATTCTAATGAGAGAATCTCGAGAATTGCGAGAAATACCTTTTTTAGAGTTAGTGGAATAACTAGAGCAAAAATATTTTTTAGATATATATAGTCAACAAAGCCAGCTTAACGTGACGATGTTGGAAAAATAAAATAAGAAAATGCTATGTGCTTAATTACGATATCACTTGAAAATTCCTTGTTGACCTGAAAAGCAGGAAATTTTTGTTCTTGCGCAATGGATATTTAACGAGAAAAACAGAAATTTAGAAACAGAAATAAAGACGAATTTAGAAACCTTTCAAGCTCTTTATTCAATAAAAGTTAATTCTTAAAACTTTTTAATTCCCATCAGTTTTGCGTAATTAAAGTTAATAAAATCAAAAAATTGTTATTACACCATTACTCATGAAATTTCAGTTTCAAAAAATTTTTTAAATGGAGCAACGAAAATTTATGAATATTGTGACCATCAATCTTAGAAATATATTTTAAACATATATATATTTTTTTAGAAGCAAAATATATATGTATATATGCGGTGTTTATTTCAACGTTGTCCATGTATCATATGTATAAATAACACATTTATATAGCAATATTATATTTATATTTATATTTATAGTGGAATGGCATACGAATGACATATCTGGATATCTCTGAATGAAATCCTAACTTTGTTATAACTAAATTTATATAGCATGCCAACGAAATTATTTTTTTTTTTTCATCAAATAAGTATGTTTATACATATACTTTTTTATAAATATATATATATATACTTATATATATATATATACTTATATATATATTTTTTATAAATATATATATGGGAAGAAAAAATAAATAAGAAAATAAACATAGAATAAATATAAAATGCAAAAAAGCCATCTTTAATTGCAAAAAAAGATAGGATTAATTTGAAAAAAATTAGCTTCAACTTTCAAATAGTAACATATTTTATTTTGTTTTAAATATTTTATTTTAAATAGAAATGCGGGTTTTTAATAAATTGGGCAATTATTTATGTAAGGCTAAAGAAATAAATAAAATATTAATCAAATAAAATTTGATAAGAATGCCGTCGCCTTCGTGATTACTGCAGCACCAGTTATCTTCTCGTGAGGTTCTTTCTCATGAAGGCTGCGCACTGAATGTCGCATAAACTAAGAAAATCTCTTTGGTTCCAACCCAATCTTTTCACAAAGTAGTTTTTTTATGATTATTGAATGCAATATGATTGGCTTCAAAGATTTCTCTTTTTCTCTTTCATTTACAAATCGTTAGATCCTTTCCCATGAACATTAAAGATTAGTAATAATGATCGCTCATTTATCTTCGCTTTTTTAAAAAGCTTTTAATAAATGCTTTTAATAAATTTTGCATATTTTAATGCTATTTTTACCATTCGCAATTGTAATTTTCAATTCTATTAAAGGAAATTAGTCGTACGAAACTAATAAATATAAAACAATAAAATTAATAAACAAAATTCGCTTCTCGAATAATAATAATTTAAATTAATGTTTAATGCCATCTAAAACGTTATTTAATTTGAATAGTTTTATTAAAAATAAAATATATAAATACTTCGATAAGTGATCGTTGGGTTGATTGATCAGAATTATTACTATTACTATTATTATTATTATTATTATTATTATTATTATTATTATTATTATAAAAATCACTTATCGCAAAAATTTTTTGAATTGCAATATTTTCTTTCCTGTAATTAATGAATGATGCGCCATCTATCCTCATTTTTCGACACACCAAATCCCATTCGACTGTAAAAGTGAAAACCAATCAATCTTATAGAAAACAACTTATAAAACTCGTAAAAACTCGCTTATGGTTGCACAACAGAGTTACTTTTCTACTTTTTTTCCCCCGCTTATTTACTTCGATAAGATGGATATAAATCAGTGCGCAAGCCATTTGCTATATAACATGTCTGTCGCATTCTCAATTATCCTCTTCGTTACAAGTTTATGTTTCGATTTTACTACGCAAATTGTCGAAATTCGCGTCGAATTTTTCTCGACAGTGTTGACCAGTTTTTTTTAACCAATGTTATTCTTAATAATGTAAGATGAAAGTGAAACTTATATGAACTTATAAAAATATGAATTTCTCCCATTATTCACAAAAAAACTGATATAAAAGAAAGACAATTCTTCAAAAGTCCCTTTGTTTAAAGAAAGCGAAAAATTTAAGAGGATTTATGAAAAATTAACCATCCATTGTGAATAAAAAAAGAAAACCTCAAAACTCTCCCCAAAAAAATATCGATGACGCGTATCATCTTATTCCATCAATTAGCGACTATTTGATTTTATTTAAGGATATGTCGCATAGAACGAAAAATAGAAAAATTTTTACTATGAAATTTTCCCTTTATCTCATTAATATTTTCAATTTTTCCAGGAAATAAAATTGAAGTCTTTTTTGAAGTATAAATTATGCATAAAACTATTTAAACAAATGATTTTTTTCTGTTTCTCATTAATAAACTGCAAAAAAAATTGAAAATTTTTGTTCAATTAAAAAAAAATCCAAATTTCCCTTCAAAATGAAGAAATTTTTCTGAAAAAGTAACAGCTGTAGTGAATAGAAAAGTTAATGCAAACTCAAAAAATAAATCAAGAATTAAACCAAAAATATTTTTACTCGTTCATTCATTCATTCATTCATTCGTATCATTATCATTATCATTATTATTGTCATCAATCCTTTTCAAAATTCCTGTTGAATTTTTATATTTTTATTCTTGCATAGTTTTGTACGAGAAAAACACCAACTTCTCCCCAAAAAATTTCACGAACAAATTTAGAAATAGCACTCTTTTCTTTCCCTTACTCTTATGAATTGAAATTACATTGTTTTGTATTGTTATAGAGGTATCATATATCATTTTATGTTAAATATTTATTACAACATTTTAATTTAACGCAAAGAAGACGATAAAAATGTTTCAGTTTTTTCCATACCTGAGACTTGTTGCTGACCAAAGTTTTGAATATTCACCAATTCTTGGTAGCGATAATACGAAGAATGCAGAAAACAATATAAGTGTATCAGAACATGAAAGCACTGCGAGATACCAATTTATCGACGATGAAAACATTAAACGGTGAGTGAAGATACGAACAGAGGTAAGATTCGCCAAAAGTCCAAATATAACAATTGGCAATGTCACCAAACCAAGTAATATCACTTCATCATATTCATAAAATTGATAAGCGATATGACATTCACAATTTGCCGATAAAATATTACACCATTCGGGAATGTCAAAATCCTCATCAGAGGACATAAAATTTCCATTACCATTATCACTATTAGAAACTGTTAATAATGAGGATGATTGTGAAGATGAAACAAGTGAAATTGAAAGTAAATTTGATGAAACTGTTGATAACGTTTTTGATAAATAATTACCATCAACACTAATATTATCTAAACGATTTCGTATTATTACTGATGAAGTCGTTGATGACGTTGATGTTTGCATGACGAAATGAATATTATTGCCAAAATTTGTTGAATTATTCATATTTATTATAAGTAAGTTAAAGAAGATATATCAGTGAAAAATAACATTAAGAAATAAGATAAAAAGGAATAACTCGTCTTAACCTCCTATTATACGAGACCAGTAGTTAAATTTCAGCAGTTTAACACGAAAACGAAAGAACTGAACATAACTTCGAGCGGTGATGCAGTAATATAGCTCGTCGTCGCATTTTCTTCTTTACTGAGGCCACACAAATTGAGGCCCGCCTCTTAATGCTATGCTATTTCTTTTTTCTTTTACTTCGTCCAGAAAGTTTTCCAATATACTCCTTTTGCCTCAGCATGCAAGTAAGTGGTTAAGCTTGTAAGTAAGTAACTCTTTGATTTTTTGTAGATTTATTCATTTTTAATATTCATTCATTTTATCGTTTGAAAAAATAAAAAAAATGTTTTTCTTTTTTTGCCTCTTTAAATAACAAAATACGTTTTGAAAAAACGAATATAATAAGGAATTTACAAATTTGTCAAATTGTTATCAAAGAACATACAACCATTAAAAAACGATATTCCATTAAAACTTTTTTTGCCAATTTTCAATTCAATTCATCAATAATCTGGTGCATCTGGAAAACGTTCTCGATAGCGTTCATCACGAAGGAATTTTGCTGATACTAATTGACCTAAAATAAAACAAATAATTAAAAATTAATATTTTTTTAAAGAAACGCGAATTTCTCAAATATCAATAATCTAGTTGAAAGAATTAACAACTGTCGTAAACAATTCGATTTGTTCGAATTGTCCTAAAAAAAACTTAAATAAAATAAAACTCTCCTCATATTTCTAGCCAATATTACTAACCTCCTGATAAAAAAATAAAAATTTTCCTCTATTGCTTTCAATAAACAAGGAAATATATAACATATAAAACAAATATTTTTCCTAAAAAATTTCTCTAGAAACTAAAAATCAGAGAAAGTAATAAATAAAAATTTGATGCAAGCCAAACCCAAATAAATATAATTATTATGAAATTGAATTTAAATCTATGCGTCCAGTATTTTAATAATTTAATAAAAATAATATAATCAAAAATGTTATTAAATGGACAAGTAGGTAGGTAAATAATCGATAATATTATCAAGGAAAGCAAAAAGTCGACAAAATGAAATTAAATGCTTCTTGGTAACTTCTCGAAAACGATTACAAGATTTCTCAATTTTTTTTCCTTATATTAAAAATAGATCGGTGCAAAGAAAATAAATGAAAAATCCAAATAACTTTCAAAAAATTTTTATCGTCTCGAATCCATTCTTAATAAAGAATAAATGAACTCCATAATATTTAAAAGCTCCTCCACTCCGTTCTTTAATAATCAAAATTTATGTTTATTATTTTAAAACATTCCAAATCTCTTCAAAATGATTGAAAAAATAGAAGAAAGATTTTGCTCAACACTTTAAGCAGTAATAAATCATTCGTTTCATTAAATATGTTTTAAAAATAGAATCAAGAAGTATTCCTTTTTACCACTTTTTTTTTCCTTGCAAAAAGAACATTTTCGATAAATTTACCAATTGAATGTAAATAAAATGGAATTCAGAAATTCTTCCAACATTTCATTTCCCTCCAGAATTGCACATGATAAAAGGAAACCCATCACTAAAAAATCCAGACGATGCTGAGAATCCGTACTACCGCAAGTGGACTAGCAGATAAAAACCACTTTGTCCTAAAAACCAGTGGAACAATCTTAACTAAAAGCAGTTTTGTGCCACAGATAGAAAAGCGGAGTGATAAATAAATGGCCAAACAAGAAAACGGAGTGAATTTGTGATTATAAAAGATTTTTCCCCTTACATCAAAAAATATTGACTTACAATTTTAGGAATTACAAAAATAGTAATTAAAGCAAAAAAATTATTAAAAAATTTAACAATTAATTTTGAACAACTTTGAAAAATCGAAAAATTTTGAAAAAAAGGAACATAAGCGAATGTAGGAAATCCAACCTTATAAGCATTCATTCATCAGAATATCGCGTTTCTTTAAAAAAATGCAAAAACTTCTTTTAAAAAACCAGTTCTCCAACGAATAATATATCAATGCAGTCATGATTTTAATTAAATCAGACAAAGGATATTGTTTTTTCTTTAATGAAACTAAAAATTTCATCTTAGGTTTCTAAAAATGCTTTCATCATCATTTGGATATATCCTTGAGCCAATCATCCATCTCATTGCATACAAATCACCTAAATTCTCATCATTTATCACTGAAAAACATATGACTAAAAGAACAACCTTAAATAATCGAATAAGGCTCCAAAAAACCGGATGATGCTGGCGACTCATCTGCATTTCTATTGTCAAAGGGACTACCTGGAATATTTGTCTAGTGCGATAAGCTAGCAGAATGAGTCTACCCAGTTAACGTAGAAAAAAAATAAAAAAGTATTAATAAAATGATATACTATTGAAAAAAAGATTGTAGAGAAATAAGCCTCAAAGGCAATATAAACTCTCCAGCAGTTCACCTTGAAATTATTATAATTATAAAATTACTTATAAAATTATTCTCTCGTAATCTTGTTATGATGAATCTCATAATTCATAAAAATATTTCTTAAAATTACCATTCAATATTAATAATCAAATATAATCACTCAGAACGGAAAAACCCAATAAATTTTAACCAAGTATTCATAATAGCGCAACTGAATATATATATATATATATATATAAAATAGACAATAATACAAATTAATTATAATTAGAATAATTCTGAACTGAAATTCTGAAAAATATAAGGAATTTTTTTTATAAAAAAATGAATGAAACAATCGCTGTTGGAAAGAAATTCGATATTCAATCGAGATACTATAAACTTCAGTCGACAGACATCAATTCCAAATAATTAGTGTACCTATTGGGACACTTTTATTTTTAAATGATGTCTAGAAAAAAAATGAGGAACAAGGCATATAATTAATTTCATACAAAAATTTTATTTAGCTATTATTTCTTTGATTATTGAGATTTATCAGATGAGAGCTTCACTTATTTTACTGATTTAGCTTCCTCACACCTTTATATAATATATTATTATACATTAAACCTTTACTAACTTTATATAACCTTACATAATAAATTAAGACTCATACTCATAAGTCTTTGATAAAATTGTTAATAAACGAACTATTTATTCGAAGTATTCTTTAAGCATAAATCAATGAACTGAATGCAGAAAAGAATCGATGGAAAAATTGGCCAGTTTGAGAAAAGCAATTAATAGAAAAAAATAAAAATGCTGTACAGAATGGAAATTTTAAAGGGAAATTTGGAAAATTAAAAGAATAAAAATGATAAAGATATTTTACTACTTCTATAAGCATTTGGAAAAATTAAACCAAATTTTTAATAAAAATTTAAATTTTTTCGGATAAAAATTGAGTGAAAAATATAATGGAAAATTAAAAATAAAAATACCGTTAAACCACATTCCATGCAACGCAGTATAAGCACTTTTGCAATCTGAAAGAGAAGAAAAACGAACAAAGACAACTCCTTCCTTGGATGTTCTATCTATATGAATGTGCACTGGTTTTATAGGAGACACCTTTTCTTTCAGTGAAGCAGCCACATCAGAACCATCAGATGATCTGTAAGTAATGAATTATATAAGAAATTTAAAATAAAACAAGAATAGGAACGAAGGTGCGACTGGTTCTAAGTTAAATATTTTTTCATTCATTTCACATTTTTCCATGTCCATTTCCTAAACCTTAGCCAAAATGAACCTGTTGAATTTTTATGAAAATAATGAAAATAAAAATAATGTCATGGGTTCATCTATCCTTCTATTTTCGAATAACCAAAAAAAGAAGGGAACTGTGAATACTCTAAGAAGAATAATAAGAATAATATAACTATAAAAAATGAGATATAACAAAATACAAAATTAAAAATTTAAAAACTTTTCTAATCTCTAATGAAAACTGATCTCTAATGAAAAAACATACTGTAAAGAAGGGAACATTCCTCGAAGTTTAAGGCAACGAGACAATGCTTGTTCTGGTATGTTCAAATGACCCTCAAAAGCTGGAAGAACATATTTCATTATTCGAAAAATTCGAGATATTTCTCCGTCATCAACAATTTCTCATCTTTATTTTCATTTTCTCTACTTCTCATCAAATGATTTAATTTCAACTTAAAAAAAAGAAGTACCATTGCCCTGCCAGCCAGTTTTTTTAGCTGGAATCCAACGCCATACTGAACATTCAACTCCGTTAATGACCCGCCTTTCTGTGCAAACGCGTGATTCATTTAAGTTAATGAATTTTACTGCTTCTTGCCAACGACGCCATTCCAGACTATCCAGTGCCCTAATGAATATTATTGATCAGCACAGAACAACAACTGTCAATTTTTCATAAAAAGTTCTTTAATGAATCAAAGTGAAAACCTTTTCGATGGAGGAATAAGCTTATCTCTAACATGTGGTTCAGCAACATAAATTTCTCCTCGCTCATTTGAATCTCGAATAATATCTAAAAAATAGTTAAATTTGAGAAATCAAAGACTGCTTCAATGATCAACAACAAAAAAACATCTTAATCCGCCTTCTTTATCAAATGTCATATTCAGTCACAAAAATCTTATTTTGATAAGGAGCACCTGTTATTTTTTCGATCAAATCAAAAAGCAGCCGTTTTTCTTCAGCTTGAGCAGCTTGACGACGTTGATTTAACAAATACATAGCCATTGCAGATCCAACAACTGCAATATTGTTTCATGAAGTATTTGCACAAACAATAAACATTACATTACATTAAATGTTGCAGTAAGGAATGACCAAAGTTTTCGTTTTTGATGAAAAATTTCAATTTCCCTCTACAAAAAAAAAAATTGGGAAAACTAACTAAGAGCAGTGACTGCAACTGGAAGAACTGCATAGGTATAAAGGAAATGAAAAGTGTCTTTAGCAGCACCTAAATAAATGCTTATAAAATTCAAACCTTTATTATGAATATAATAAATTTATTTCACGAAAGGAAAACTTGTACTGAATCTATTCTGCTTTATCTTAGAAATTTTAAAAATTACCACTTTTTTGGAAAATTTTTGCAAAAAATACAAAAATGATGAATGTTTTATATTTTATGATTTTATGAAAAAAAACCTGATATAACTATGGCAGCATTTGGTATTAACTGCGGATGTACAGTTATAGAATACGCTGCAGAGAGAAATAAAAGAAAAAACGTTAAGCATAAAATAAGCATTTTTGAAATAACAAAACTGCTATTGAAAGTTTCATCCGATGTTGCCACTTCACTATTTGGTCGCAAAAAATATTTCGATGTCTAAAATATGTCTAAAATATATCAAAATAAAATCTTACGCTAGAATACAAAAAAATGTTAAATAAAACTAAAATGCTCGATAAAACCAGATTGCAGAAAAATGCTATTCTCCGATTTTTCTGCGATTTTTATCAGCTGCAAGTAATCACAAAAAGAAAAATGAATTACAAAGAAATACCTTTCGTGATGATTTTGGCTGTGCTTCTACTGTATGTAAAGGTCGCATCAGAAATTTATAGAAAGATGAAAATGAAGAATTCTTCGAATCTGATCTTGCTTGTTCTTGTTTTTGCGATATATATCGACAACTTTCCATGTGATCATCAGTGAAATCGCTTTCATCTTCTTCTTCATAATTAACGAAGTTGTTATTTATGTGCTCTGGTCTATATGAAGAAGTACTGGAGATCGGCTGACCATGTGTAATCCCTGAACAACTGTAAATCAGATGAAAAATAACAGCAATCATATTAAAAATGAGAATGAAAATTAGTTTTTTCAATAATATGTATAATTATTCGCTGAATTTATCTGCACTATTTGTTTTCTAAAACCCTTTGAAACTCTTCTTTATAAAATATATTTTGTTAAAATCTCTCCAAAACCCATCACATCCAACTTCTTAAACTCCTCATTTATCCTTTGCACTTTGCCACAATCTATTAGCAATAAACCATAGTAAAATCCCATTAACATGTTAATAAGCATCAAAAGACCCAATTCCAATTTCATGATTCGTTAAAAACATTCCTGATAAGTTCTTTTAATGTTTCTTTTAATAAAATTTCGCTATATACTTTTGCACATTCCATTGGTACTTATTAACATTATCTCCTACATTTACAACACTTTTTCCAACTAGCTTTGATTAGTCCATAGAAGAATAGAAGATGAAGGAATTAGCGAGGAGATATGAGGAAATCTGGAAAAATAAAGAGTATCTAAGCAGAAGAGTAAAGGTAATATGAAACTGATTAGACAGACAAATAATAAAGGCAGTGCAAAGAGAGGCCTGGCATTAATTTAAGAAATGCAACGGAGAAATGAAGACAATTAAACGAGTATAAAGAATTCCATTATGGATCAATTTATTAAAACTGATTTTCACGTTCGAAAATTTTTAAATATATATGCGCATATATTTGTCTCGAATATATATTATAAATCCCACAACAGGTGGGAAAAAACCCATCGGTAATGAACTGCGAACCTATTTTGAAAGTAATCAATGATTTCAAATAATTTCTTAAAAAATAAAAGAAAAATTTGAGAGAAAAGAACAAATCAAACAAATTAAAAATAAATAAAATCGTCCCAAATGAAGATTTAATTCATAAATTAAAAAGAAGACAACCGAATTCAAACCAATTTTATCCCAAATTTAATTAAACGATAAACCACTTCGCTAGAAAAAATTTTTTTTGGAAGTAATTAGAGCTGATTCTAAATTTTTTTTCGAAACACCATATTTGTCCCTATTGCTAGTCGAACTACAGAATTTTTTTATCCTATAAGAAAAAAACTTTATTTTATCTTATAAGCTAGATAGTATTGGCCATTATTATAAAACAAATAAGGAATTCTCCGAATTTATTATTTTATACCTATGGAAATAAAAGCTTTAATGCAGTAATTCACGTAATTATTCAAGAAAAAATTCTGTTTTGATGAGATTAGAATCGTACTTAAACTATCAACTGCAAAATAAAATAACATTTAAAAAAGAGTTAAAAAAAGGACTTTAAAAAAAGTTTCTTCTTTCTACTTTAGGAGAATCATAAAATTTTCATTCGAAATTTTACGCACAGGTTAACAGAGAGTGAAAGTTTAAATTCTTATGTGAACATTGCATTAATTTTACCATTCTTACCAATATCTTTCCATAAAATTTCGACTCATTATCTATGATAAATTATATAAATGATTCCTTACGCCAAGTGAGTTCTGAAAAAAATGAATAAAAAATGTTTCTTACAAAATATAATATATAATATATAATATAAAAAATAAAATATATAAATATAAAAAATATATAAATCTAAGTATTAAAAACCCCATTAACAAGAAGATTAAAAAATTGACAAAAATTTTCCTAAAATGATGTACAAATAAATATGCAATAGTTTATTACAGGGGATTTCCAGAAGTCAATGTAGACAAGTCAAATATATTTTATGCTTTATGTGAAACTATACTTAAATTTCAAATTATACCAAGAAGAAAAAAATATATTTAGATTTTCACAGTTCCCAGTTCTTAGAACGGATTTAACAGTTAAAAGAATCATTCATTAAAATTAAAATATTAATTTAAAAAGTCAAAATGTGGTGTTTTAAAAATTATATTGAGTAACTTTAAAATTTAACAAAAATTTTAAAAAATATTGTTGAAAATATTTATAAAAATATTTATAAAAATTAGGTAAAAGCCATCATGATTATAAATGAGAATTAGTATTTTGATATGCCACTATAATTTGCGCTTTCTACACTTTTAAAAAAAATGTCGAAAAAAATGTTTTTTTAAGAATTAATGTAAGTAATATTACTATGATTTAATGCAGTAATAAACGTTTGCATAGTTTCAACCAAATGAGCACATAAAATTTTTTCATACGTATAAATAAGATTTTTGTTAAATGAAAATCCGTACATTTTTAGGAAAAAAGTATTTTAGCTATTACATTAAAAAACTTCACTTTCTAATCGAAACATGGTATAAATTTCGGGAATAATAATTCTAAGAAGGATAATAAGAAAAAATTTTCTTTTGTAGAGAATTAATACAAAAAAAGCTAGGAATCCCTGGTTTATATTACATCATATTACAAATGAATGGAAAAACTTCACTATTAACGAGCCCAGAACTGAACTGTTTCATTGGGGATCTAGGAACAGTCTTATATGGGAACGATGCAAAACGATCATAAGCTGAAGCTTTCATTCGTGATCCATCAATGACCTATATAAGAAAATTAATTAAATCAAATTTAAAATTAAATTAAGAACAAATTTATTAATATTTATCTTATTTATATAATCATATTCATACCGCAAAATGCTTCTTTTAGCAAGTTAAGATGCAGAATTCAAAATAAAAATTAAAACCATAAAATGAAGTTTGATTTGCCGAGCTTAACTTTTTAACTTACCGAGGAAGACAATGTTTCATGACTGGTTGTTTTTGGGTTAGGAAAAAGTGTTTCTCTAAATGTACTGCTTGGCCTTAAAAACAGAAAATAAATAGAACAATAAGTACTCCTTGAATACTAAGGATTAAATTTTGGCAATAATTTTTCGCAGTAAACTATTTCGTACGTAATAAACAAAAATCTCAGCATTCTAAAAGGACAACAACACTAACGAAACTGTTTCCACTTTTATTCGATTCATATCAAATGGTTTTGGCAGTGTGGACTCAGATAATGTAAAACTGGCATTCAAGTTATTCCCAAATTCACGTCGTTGCCTGTTATTATACACCTTTTGTGGAGATGATCGTTTCACATCATTGAGTGGATAATTACTCTGTAATAAAAAAAAATAAATAAATAATGGATAAATAACAAAAAATTTTAAAAAATATAAATTTTCATCTGAATTTGCCAATGAGGCAAAACGAAAAAAAGCAGAAGTATAATGCCGATGTGATCAATACAAATTAGACGAATTATTGTTCTGATGGACATTTCTAAAGTTCTAATTTTTTGACATTAATTAAAATGAAATAGAAATAGAAATCTCAAAAAAAAGGAAAGCGAACCGAAATGTTAAGAATGCCCGGTGGTGCAGAAATGAAGTTTTTCGAAATTTTAGATGGATCTGATGGATTTTCCAGTTTTGTCTTTACACCAACATTCGACCTACGCGGCTTTGTGCGACGCTTCAAAAGTTGCCGCTCATAAGTTCCACGGGTTGATGGTGTTATAGGTCCAACTGTGACACCAAGAGCAACCAGTTCAGCGCGCAATTCCTCATCAGTCAAACTTGAAGCCATATCGTTTTCTTCGCGTTTTTTTTTTTTTTGATTAATCCTGCAGTAGATAGATAAATAAATGAATTATTCAGAGAAAAGCAAAAACAACAAGTAATAAAATTCACTTATAATGTGGTGATAAAAAAACAAAACAATTTTTAAAATTTCCTTTTACAAGGAAATTTACCGTCATTTACCATTTTACCATTCAGATAATAAATCATATTCAACTAACGAAAAACCAGTAATTATTAAAATTAATTAATTAATTAATTAACCGTGAAAAAACAACCAAAAAATAGATAAATCTAACGAAACAGAAGATTGTAGAAATATAATACGGATTGTAATTTTCAGTTATTCATTAGAGCTGTTCCCTTTTCACCCCATATTTGTATGATATAAAAATATCATACAAAATAGTATAACGATAGGAAAGATTATAGAGTTTTTAAAGTATCCAAAAAGGGCGACAAAACGATAGAGAAATAAATACAGCGGTAGTGATGCGGTATTTACGAGTAAAACATAAATGTACCGGATAGGAATAAAGGAATAAATTTTTGCGATTCACAAAAACGATTATAAATGAATGATAAAAAATAAAACGATTATAAATGAATGAAAAGCGATGCCCATAATCACGAAAAACATACAAAAAACATGTAAAATAAAAATTCATCACAAAAACAAATTTTTAAAAATTTTAAAATTTTCATAGTTTTCAGAACGCGAAGTAATAATTTTTGCAGAGTCCAATAAAATCATTTAAGCGCGCCACTTTTTCCGCAAAAACTACTAATATACAGCCTCAGCTCAGTAAAAATATGAACAAAGAAGAATTTGGAGAGACAAGGAATCTACGATTTAAAATTGAAGAGGAATGAGGGCGGAAAAAATGAATGCAATTGAGGAAAATAAGGAATAGACGATTAAATTACCTGCAGTGAATGCGGTACCAGCAAAAGGGAGGAGGAATATCAAATTTATTCGACATAAAAGTCAAATTAAGAGATATATAAAGCGAAAGCGGCAAACTGATTGTCTAATCCCCATTAATTGATTAATTAACCGATGAGTGACTTTGATTAACTAAAATTCAACCGAGTTTAGTGCAAATTACCAAATATATGCATCCATTCCTTCACAAATAAAATATTCCGTTGAGCAAAAGCGCAATTACACAAAATACGAATGAAACGATTAAAAGGTGATTCGGAACAGCATTTGATATTATTTATTTATTAGCTTTTCGACGATGACAAATCCACCCCATCCTTTTGAGAATTCTCGTCCAAAAAATTATTCAAACCCGATGGAACTCCACTTTCGCCACAATTCACAATAATGCACCTGCTAACCAAAAGAACATTCAAGAAATCAAACAACGATAGAAGCTGAAGCTGACAGTTAGTGTTTCGGTCAAACAATCGGTTCAAGACCAATTCTTTTCGCCGATCTCTCACCGGCATAAAGATCGACATCAACCGGTTAGTATCCCCCGCGAGATCGGTAAGCTTAGTTTTTTTCCTTAGAAATTCGAGTATAATTTGACTTGCGTCATTGGCGATGCATTTGACTAACATGAAATTATCGTTTATTTGCAAAATTCGGCATAAATTTAAGCCGTTCAAATGACGAACGTGAAATTGATTGGAAGCGGAGCGAAAATCCACGAATAGTTGACAGTTCATTAGCAGTAACGCATTTGGTTATTGCATTTATGAATAGAATGCCCATCTGAGAAGAGTGTTGTTGAGTGTGCCAATCAGTAGCCGTAGTCGCCGAATGGACCGAGGTGACCTTCGGACCATCGCCTTCAGACTAAGCCGCACATGGCTGTACAGCTGCCATATTTGCCATTGCTGGTGAATACTGAAGGAGGCGAAAGCAAAGAAGGCCGAGTCGGGTCAGCAATATTCCTTCTATGCTTGCTTATTTTGTATTATGGAAAGCACTTTTCATGAATATCTTCTTGATATGCTTTATGAAAATCTTCTTCAAAAATATCACGTTAATGCTATCAAAAGTACTCTTTCGCCATAATTCGTCAATAATATCATTTCGTTTCACACTTTAATGCTTCCAAACCCCGTCAAACTGCATTTTGTTGTAAATGGTAGTAAATGGGCGCATCGAAGAAGCATGGCGGAAGTGAAAAATTTTTTAGCAGCCATTTTTATTCTCCTTATTAAAACAGGTAACACCTCTCATTTGTTGTGTTAACTTCACAACTAACTGGCATTTTGAAGAAATTATATGGGTCCTTTCTGAAAGAGGCCGCACACACAGCATATACACTCATGTACACACATATACGTGAAAGTAGGCACATACATATATTCAAATGTGTCCAAACATGACGTATATGCACGTCACATACATATCCGCTCATGCACAAACAACCTATATAGCACGCACCATTCTCAGCCAAAAGAACGTAGAAGGATACGGTGCCGTCATGCACATGCTGACTAACCTAACAAATCCCACGCTTATCTCAGTTCGCCAGCGATCTTAATGATTCGCATCAACGAATGTTTTGATTGCATCATTAATAATTGATTAATTATGGACGGTCGTCTCGACAAAGTGCCCTGCACGTATCAATCAATAAATTGGTATTGCTATTATGTCCCACATATTTTTTTCGCGGAACTCCTGAAGGTTTCAAGTAATTTTTTCCTTTAAATTTTATTTATTTTCTTTTATTTTCTGTTCCATTCTTAATTTTTTGTTCCGAGTGATCTTGATTCTGTTAATCAGATAAGTCTCCTTTAAAGCTTTTCTTTTTTCTATTTTCCTTCATTAATTTTTTTTTTCCTTTATTATTCATCATTGCTTTTGATAGGAGTAAACCTGTTATGATATAAAAAATACGAGTGGCTGCTGAGAACATTCTCCAAGTTACTTTATGGTGAAGGTGAAGGGTTCAAGTCTTTTTGATTCGGCGTTCACGCCCTGCAATACATATGATGCTTTAGCCCGATGGTGCATGGATAAATATACAGTCCAGGCATAATAAAACGATCTTAAGGCTTGAGAACAGGATATGCCGGTGAGCCAGGGTAATTATTTGAAACCTGTCAAACGAGAAACCGATCGTTGGCATTCTGCACACGACGAGGTATTGGTTATAGCTGCTGGGAACGTCAGAATTTATGGACTTATAGACTTTGCAAGCCAGGTGAACGCTATCCACTTTCTAAATATGGATGTCTTGGATCTCAGGTAAACCGACTAGAGATATTGGTGTCTCGGATATTTTCGGAACGAAAACATAGTGATTTTCATGTCTGAAAAAGCTCGATCCGCTCTGATTGAGTGGGAACCAGTAAACGACCATTTGTTCTGTGCTTATTTTAAACGAAAGTTATATATCACTTCGGTTATCATTGTATATGCTCCAGCTTTATGTGCAGACCATGATAAATTCTGTGCGGAACTTCAACTACCAACATCTCTACCGAGATGTAACATGGTCATAACTGAGAAAACTATCTGAGAATATCTGGAATGCGCACATTGGTCACGGTGTCGCCACAATGACTTTGGTAATTGGCATCAGAGTCCGATGGAGAATGTCTTTTTCGCTTTGAACTTTTTCTTACTGATACATGACATCTAACCCCGTGGAATCCCCTGTATAGCCCAATTTACCCAGATTGATTATATAAAATAATAAGATTAAAATATTTTATACGGCACCTCTCTCCTAATAGCAATTTTAATTATAAAAGAAAATTTCTACAATACAACCTGGATCTCTTAATTCGTCGAATTAAGCAAGATTTATACTTATAAGATTCTGTATGGGTTAAACTAGATTCATCAAAATATTATAATTTTAGGCTAAATTTGAATTCAACGAGAACTAATGGACTAAAATTATTAAAACCTGTGTTAAATTAAACTAAGGAACTAAGGACCCATCACTTCTTTATTCGTACTATTAATTACTAGAATAAATTATCGAATGATATAGCCTGTGCGTTATCCTTAATTATCTTTAAAAAAAGATTAGATAATATCATTTATGATAATATTTAAAAAATTCACATCATGCGTGTGAAATCTTGATTTCTACCGTCAGAATTGTACTGTTATATTATTTTGTAATTTCCTCTTTATTTCCTCTTTAAATTGTTAATTTTTGTCATATTTTCTTTTTCTTTTTTTTCATTAAGTATTATTATTTGTTATTTTACCTGTTGTTATTAATATAAGCACATGGTGTTTGTTGCCCTGCTTGACTGGTTTTTCAATAAATAAATAAAATATCCCGGTCAGCCGCCAAAGTTTCGTACTAAATAGTCGTTCCTATCGTGGCGCTGAAACTAATAGTTGTTATTGATCATGTTATGGTTCGAACCAAGAATCGCATAAAATTGGTCGCTTTAAGAAACAACATCTGCCATGATCTTTCAACTATCTCAAACTAAAAGATTCGGGGTCAGTAAGCGCATTTCAATCCGAAGCGCCTCAGAAGTGAAATGGATTTTAATGATATCTCTAGAATTGCTGATGAATGCTATCACAACTAAAGATATTCGAAAATTAGCCACTTTCAGGCTAGGAGATACTGATAAGAAGTGCGCTAATTGGGTATTGGAAGCAACTATCCAAGTGTCTGAAAGGCTTCCAAAACACGAATATCAGGAGATCCTGGCTATGATGCTTCGAAAAACGATATCTGCAAACAACGGAATTGTTGTTGGAATGATATCTTTGGAAATGCAGATGGTTGCTCAATTAGGCGATAATAGGAAATTATCGCATTCTTCCTGCCTTCAAGAAATTAAGACTGGAGGAACAGTGAAATCGTATGGTATAATAATGATGTTAACACTATAAGGAAAGGATTGCCTCGGAAAGAATTCTTTGAGGTCACACTTAACTATGATGTTGTCCTGGATATAGCTGAACCGGTCGTCATGCCATATGTTTGTAGCTGCAAACCACCAGCAGAACAAGAAATAATTTTTGTCATCCAGAGGCTTATGATCAATGAAATTCCAGAAAAAGATGGTTTTCGCCGAACTTTTCAAATATATTCAGTAAATATATTCTCTCTGATATGACAGAAAGAAGTAATGCCAGGTGATTGCAGAAAGCAATTTTGCTTCCAATTTTTAATAAAGGCGACAAGACGAGCTGTGGCATTATTGAGGAATTAGTCTATTATGTACCTCCAGGAAAATTTTTTCTTCCCTTATACTAAATAGACTTATGGCAATATGAGATAGCAGGATGCGCCTTAACCAAACTGGATTCAAATTGGTTGACCAGATATCTATGGTAAAAAAGGTGGAAGAGTTCATTTCAAGTAGCGGCGACCCACCGTTACTTGTTTCATCTATTTTGCAGCTGTTTTCGATTCAATTGACGGAGCAGCACTTTGAAGAATGATGGAATATGATGATCGTGTTCCAGAGATCATTCGCCTCATAAAGGCATTTTATCGGTGCAGGTCTCACATATGGGAAACTGATAAAACCTTCCGAAATAAGAACTGGTGTTCGTCAAGGCTGCTTTATTTTCCCTATAACATTCGACTATGTAATAGACTGGATAACGGATATCGTTTGTCGGCATTCATGAAATGTGCAAATCTATCTAGATCAGTATCACAGGCATTGAACACGTTATGTAATTGTCGCCATGTGGCGAAGACAGGGCAAGCCATTTGCATCGCTCTTGCGATATATCGCTTCCCCAGCGAAAGTATTGAGAAAGTAGGGGACGAGAAAAAGACAATAAAAAAATATTTCAGAACATTAGTGTAACATCCCACTGAGAGGCACAATACATCATCCATCTCCTTAAAATGGAAGATAAAGTAAAAGATAAATCTTATTTTCCTTCCATTTCAAGCCGTACGTAAGCTCCCAAGAAAGCACTTTTGGCATTTGGGATTTGTGATAAGACGAGGGAAGGAAAAGCAGAAGACGAGAGAAGGGGAAAGAGAAGTGGGGAAATGCATAAGGGAACTGGGAGCGCTAGATAGGACCGTCGCTTTCTTGCATGGGGATAATGCATTGCCTTCCCCATCCTCTCATAGATTTGCTATATATGCCGCGCACGAAGGAAAAGAATGTTAATGTTTGTGACATATTTAATATCTTATATATGTTTGTAAATAAAAGATTTAATTATTCAAGTTTGAGAGTCGTGTACCTACGATATTACGTGTCGATCATTTCGCATTAATAAAGGAACATAGCTGGAGTATAAGTTAAATATCAAATTAATTTCCCATGGCAGTCACTATCATTTAACACAAATAACTATCATTTCAGAGGAAGCGAATTTCCAAAAGTGTCGTCAAGGAAACATTAATTGGATAAGGGGATTTTTGGATTTTTTTTTGGATTTATTTTTTTTGAAAAAGACAAGAGGGAATTTTTCTTCACAAGAATTCATACACATATTTCGTTCCTTGCTAAACTCTGTGGTGGATAGTGCTAAAAACAAGGAGGATCAGTGAAGATTTAGGTTGATACAGTTATGAAAGATTTTGAATTTCTAAGTGGACCAGCAATACATGGTCTTAGACGATGGAAAAACGAATAATTTCTATTATTGACAGTGATGCCATCGGATTGAATAGATTGAAAACGTCTCATTTTTTTAATCAGCTTTGAGCGTTATGATGAGAAGAAAAGACTGCGCACGTTATAATTAATAAATAATAATAAATAAATTAATGATAAATTAAGAAAAAAAAATGAAAATTCCTGCCAAAAATGTCAAACAAATGATTTATTCGAACTAATATAATATTTAATATTTTAATATTTAAATTTTCAACAAAAAATGATATGTTTTTCCTTAAAGCAAATTTTCATGGTAATTTGAGAGATTCAGATAGATTTTTGCTTTAGTTAGCAAATATGAGTCAAGATAATCGAACACAGTGTTAATTCAAGTGCTTTCGGTGACATCACAGTTATAATTTGTTCAAAAGTGGCTCTGGCGAATACCTGTCATCCTATAAACGCTAATAATTATTTAGATGTTCATTTATCTGTTGTAGATTTTTTCTCTCATTCGCCAATGATACCGCAATACTTAAAAAAAAAAACTAACAAAAGATTATTTTGATTTAATGCACTAAGATTTTAATTCCATGCTTGAAAAATTCGATTTAATCCATCAGATTTTTGGAAAGAATTATTTTATTAATTAATGAATTTTTTTTTTTCTAGGAAAGCTCACCATTTTTGGTTAGGTTTGGTCAGCTGGTTTTGTTCCACCAGACAAATTTTTGTCGCTCGGTCATTTGGCTATAGAAGCATAGAATAAATTAAAAGAAGAAGAGCGGCCAGCATCACCCAATTTAATAAAGGCTCAATTTTTCTTCATCTGAATTCACTCAACTTCATTCTTTCGCATTATTTTTAATGAAGTTTCTCTTACTATTAAAATTTTTGTGAAATTTTCGAGATCCAATGTAAAAAAATCAATTCCTTGTTTTAATCGTAAAAAATCATTGAAATCAAAATTTGTTGATGAAGTCTGAAATAATAATTTATACAAATGGAAAATGGAAAATTTAAATTTTAAACTAATTTTTGGTGAAATATCGCTGATCGTTTTTAGTGAATTCTAAATTTTAAATCATTCAATAGATAAATCAAATGGCAAGAAAAGAATTTTTCTTTCTTTTTTTTAGAGTAGGGTTTCTTCACCAGAGGGTCAATTTTGGATAGAATTACTTTTCAATCTGCAGTCAAGGCATAGATAAGAAAAGATATGATGAGTCAATTTTAGTGGAAGCAAGCAGTATACCACTCGACCTTCCTTTCCTTGTTATTTGTGGGTTAGAGTCATTTGAAAGAATGACCTCCGTAGATTTTTTTAAATAATAACATAAATTGCTTTAGAGAGGAAGCAAATCTGATTTCTGATTTCTTCTTCTTCTAACAACTTTCACCATTACTGGTTAAGCTGGCTCCATTGGCTACAAGGATAAGACGTTCCCAAGCTGCTCAATCCGATGCTATCGCTAATAGTAATAGAAACCATTCCTTTTTCCATCGTCTAAGTCCATATAACGCTGATCCGCCTATACGTTCAAAATCTTTCCTAACTGTATCAGTTCAGGTCTTGACTGGCTCTCTTCGCTTTTGACGCCACTCATCACAGGATTTAGCAAGTAACGAAATATGCGTCAACTCCTGTGGTGGATGATAGAGAACGGCTCTAACCGGAGAAGACAACAGCATAACATTATTAATACAAGTGGTATTTGAACGAAGGTCAGTGCGATCATGCAACATTTTATCCGCTAGACGGACTCGTAAAATGTATCTTAGAAAAGAGTGTCAAATGAGTCAGTGAGTGTTTTAGGATAAATTACGAGCTACATTTTTTTTCTAAATTTAAAAAACAAAGAAATGAAATATATATTTATCGTAATATTATAAATAATATAAAATAATTATGTCCGTCTCTGGCAAGAGTAAACCTGTCTTGTTAAAATAGTGGTTGCTTGGCACCCATCTGTAACTCTATCCCCAAGTGACTCTATGGTGAAAGAGTCAGGTATTCTTTTGATTTGATTGATTTGATTTCTGATTTATAATTGCTTGGTCATAGTCGAGAAACATATAGCATTCGATTATCCCGTCCTAAAACGCGGTTTCAATCTCCCAGGCTCTAATGGAGGAGTTTACGTTGAGGATGACCCATAATACTCACCAAACTTTTTTAGATGGCAATAATTTTCTCTAAATAAATAAGTGGTTAGTTCGCTATTTTTATCCAATCAGCTCCGATGGCTAGAGTTTAAAAATTTTCAAGAAATCACCTGGCGCAGAATATATAATATAGGGTCGAAAGTATCACCCAGACTTTCTTAATTATTGACCGTTTATTCCTTTAAGAAGGAAGAGCCATTGTATCTTAGTCGGTCACTTTGCACTAAGATATCCCTGGGCAATGATTGACAATGACAATTAATTAATTGTTTATTTATTTAAGTACAAATAAGTACAAATCAAGCATAACCTAAGGCTATGCGCTGAAGTTAATTTCAAAGAGAAGCAGAAATGTAAATGAATAGAACGAACGAAATATTTTGTACATTGTCTCTCTCCTAATACCAATAATATTAATTATAAAACTTCAGTCGACGAATTAAACAAGATTTAATTCACACATAAACTTCTCTCTGATAATGTCGATATAATTCTGCATGATAATATTGAGCGGCTTATCCAGACAATTATATTCCAAATATTATGATTAAATCTATTGAGATAGATTTAATGCGCTAAAATTATCAAAATGCAGAACTCAGCTAAAAATATATGATTTTTTGATTCGCAGCATCAATTGTCTGGATAAGCCTAAGCCGAACGTGATTTGTGCATCATCCTTAGCTATTTTTAAGAAGAATCGAATATATTATCCACGGTAATATTTAAAAGCTTTAGATTATGCATGAAATTCTTCAGCATGCGCTTGTCTACCAGCAGTGCATATCATCCATGATGTCATTTAAAAGTTTGTTCCGTTTTATTCCCTTTCGTTATGTTATTTCTTTATTGTTAACTTTACATTGTTGGCCATACTTTTTTTATGTTTCATATTTTTATGTTTTATCGCTTTGCTTATGCAAATACATGGCACATATCGCCTTGCTTTTCAAATAAAATAAAAAGTGAAATGATGAAAAGAAAAAGAAAAAGATAACAGTATTAAATTGAGGCTGCAAATCTCATAATAATATATGCTGAGATTTATTTCACAAAAAACTGGAAAGGGATGGAGCAAGAATAACATCGTGGAGTGATTTATTCCATTAGTTAATACTTCGAACGAAAAAATTGTGGGATAGAAAGGTAGTCCAACAAATAGCCTTGCGCAACTTTAGTGCGTTACCTCTGGCAGCATTAAAGTTCAAATTAAAGCTATTATGATTAGAAGAATAAAATCTTATAAATAGAAATCAGACTTGTTTAATTCTTCCAAGTGAATCAAGATTATATAATTTGGATTTCTAAGTGGGATATGATTTAAGTGCCCTATTCTCGGTTAACTTAACAGATTTGTTAAATTAAATCCAACATGAATATATATTCTAAATAATACTCGAAATGTGGACATATGAATGTGTCCACACTTATATATTTAAATCAGGAAATTTTTTGACTTGTTTTTAAAAGTTGCAAATGTTAGATCCAAAGTTCCGAGGGATTTTTTAGTAGCTTAATGTGAAAAATTATTTATATATATCAATATAGACTTGTCAACAGAAAAAGAGAGAAAGATAGGTTGATATGGAAAATATATTTATTTGAATCTTTTGATGAGCATTTACATGCTCCGATCTACCATGTTAGAAATAAATTTTATCAATCATCAACAATCAACAATCATGTAAGTAAATTTAAATTTAAAACAATATTAGTCAGTGTACATTAAAAAAGCAATGGGCCTATACAACTATACTGGGATGCACTAGTCTTGACTTCATTAAAATCAAATAAAATGGACGGCATGGGAACAACCACTTAGAATACTCAATTAATTAGTGCTAAATTACCTTAAATCCGTTAAAGACAGTTACCAGTCTACTATTTGAAGTTGTATCGAAAGCTTTAGTAGCTAGGTCTAAATGGACAACCATTTGACCATGGTCAATGGATAGTGAACAGTTATGGAAATTAGCCAGTAGCTAAGAGGCTGTGGATTTTCGCGTAAAGAAACCATGTCGATATTAAATTAAGATAATTGTATAATCTCTTCAATATCCTCCTCTTGCTTACACGAGTAATGCTGATTGGACAATAGTTAGAGGGGTTAAAATAGTCTATCTTTTTGGAGTTGCACATGAAAATCTTCAAATTCCATTGGGAATTGATCGGGCCCAGTGCATAAGGACGATTGTAAATAACTGCATTAGATAGCCACGTGCACATCTAATAGTGAAAAATCAATATTTGAAAGCGATGGAGCATTAAAAGCCGTGCTTGGAGGAAACATTGCCGTCCAAAAAACGTCAGCAAAGTAGTTGCTAAATGTGCTGACAATGTTTATATGCTTTTCAATGATCAAAAAATCACCACTTTTATCAAAATATCGAACTCTTCTTTAGGCTGGAAAATCTGTTTTTATTATGACTACAAAATGATATCAGAGTTCAATATTTTATTCTCTTTTATCAAAAAATGTTCATAAATTGCTTTGTGAAAATTTTGCAAACAATCCTTATAGGTTGAAATATCGTTGGGAAGATATGCTAGTTTACATTTATAATAAATTTTAAATTTTTATCACTACTTTCTTAGTCGCCAAGAATTATTTTTTTTCTATTTTTTGGATTAAAGACTCTAAGGAAGAGCAAAAGATTGCCAGTGGATTCCAGCAAAATTGGTGAAGTTTTAGAATAAACTGTGGAAATCGCTAAAATTATAAGGCAAATGGACAAATGACTTGAGTTGGAGTTCAATATATATAATAGTATATTTATTACCAGCTAAACAAGGCGACAAACGCCATGTTTTTATATTAATAACAACAGGTAAAATAAATAATAATTAATAATAAAAAAAAGAAAAAGAAAATATGACAAAAATTTGCAGCTTAAAGAGGAAATAAAGAGGAAATTGCAGAATTATAGTACAATTCGAAATAACTATATTATAAATAATCGGATGGTAAAAATCGAGATTTTGCAGGCTTCCTGTGGACTTTTTAAATAATATCATAAATGATTATCTAATCTTTTTTAAGATAACTAAGGATGATGCACAGGCTATATCGTTCGGCAGTTTATTCCAATAATTAATAGTACGAATAAAGAAGTGATGAGTCATTAGTTTAATTTTGCGCATAGGTTTTAGTGATTTTAGTCCTATTAGTTCTTGTTGAATTCAAATTTAGCCTAAAATTATATTTTGAACAATTTAGTTTAACATAACCATACAGAATCTTATAAGTATATTCGGTTTATTCGGCTTATAAGTATACATTAAATCTTGTTTAATTCGACAAACTGAGAGAGAATTCAGGTTGTATTGTAGAAGTTTTTTTTTTATAATTAAAATTGCTATTAGGGGAGAGGCATCATATAAAATATTTTTGGAGTCCTGTAATTATTTCACTTGATTTGCGATATCTCGTGGAGTAATACTGTAGTTAAGAAGAAGCCGAACGTACATTTGTGCATTTGTGCATTAAAAAGCTTCAGGTAAGAAAATTAAGAAATTTTTGTTCTTAAAAGAACGAAAAATAAAATTTAGTATCTCTGAGGTTACCGTGGTTCTGCAGTGATGGTCGAAATCGAGATTTTCTTTCATGATTATTTTGAGGTCGGAAATGTATAAGACTCTTCAAATTATATATAATGATGAAAGATGGTGAGAAGTGGTTCTAATATAAATCAATTAAGTCAAATCAATAAGGAAGTTAAAGAGACAACATCCAGGATATTAGATGATCAGTGGGAGTATTATCCATTGTATTGATAGAAAATTCAAAAATTACTCCTTATATCTATTTTTTTTTAAACATACGATAATTTCCCTAATTGATTTTAGTGATATTAAGATTACCAAGATAATTTTAGTGATATATTTTTCAAATTTTAACTACTTGTAGATTATACAGTTAATATAAATTATTAAAATCGAAAATCGATTAAAAATAACCTTATTACGGGAACATTGGTGATTTAAAGTTGTAAAAGAAAGAAATGAATCACCGTTCTGATGTTCGCTATAAGATCTAATGCCATTGAGATAGGTTTATTGTAATAATCTACCCCATGACAAAAAGGTTCTCAGTTCGGCAATTTTTAGATCACATATTTTTTGAGATTACCCTGGTCATTTCATGCATAGCATTGCTTTCGCAGCTCTCGGTCCAACTCCAATCTTTTAGCAAATTGTCTATCGATCATTTCAATGTTTTTTTTCCGGATTTTTCTTTGATCTCGAAGAAAACTCATCCTATTTCAAAGATCCAAGAGTCAATACGGATAGTATCCGCAATTTCGACTTTTGGTTTAATATTTTTATCTTTGACGAAAATAATGGTTTCAGATTTTTTAACCATTATTTTTATTTATTTATTTTATTATAGTCTGCCACTGCGAATTCGCTAGTTATAATTGACGAGCTTGGTCGAGGGACGTCGACATATGATGGTTTTGGGCTCGCTTGGGCTATTGCTGAGTAAGTAGATTTGTTATAATTCATGATTCAATATAATTTTATTAGAATTTATATTCAAAAAATAAAATGTTTGTAATAATTTTATGTTTAAGCTTGTCAATTAGTTTTGATTGAAAAAAATTTCAAAACTTGTTCGGAATTAAAAATTCCGATTCCGATTTAAAATAATTCTCATCCTTGTGACTTGTTTTTTTTTTCAAGTCCATAATTTATTATTTGTCAAATTTCGTTCCATTTCATTTTGTTATTTTGTTTATAAATTTGATTTTAACTCGACCATCAAACTTATAACTTATATTTATACAATTAATTTAATGAATATTAAAGATTTTTTTTCCATTTTCATCCTCACCTACATTTTCCGAAGGAATATTTTCCAAAAATCAAATTTTTTATTTCAGTGATTTGCTTTCAAGGGTCAAGTGCTTTTGCATTTTTGCCACTCATTTTCACGAAATGACCGATCTTCAAGCCTTGTACCCTAATGCATTAAAAAATATTCGAGTCGAGACGCGATTTGATGATAACGGCTTGCTTATATTGCTTTATAAAGTGGTTTATGGAGTGGCTGATCGATCGTTTGGTTTAAATATTGCTAAATTAGTTGGATTACCAGATTCTGTTTTGGAGGTCGGTCATTTTGAACTAAAGTAATTCGTTTAAAGTTTGTCATAGTTATTATAGGAAAGCCAAATTGTTGTATGTTCTTTGAGAATCGTATTCAGATTTCGCATATTTACGAGATTTTTCAATTTTTTCTTTGAAATTAAATTTTTGCAGTCTGCAAATGTTATACTGAATGATTTGGAAAATAGAGAAGTTGATTATAAAGCAAAGGAGGACGATCTCATTAGTTACTTAAAAACTTTGCGAGGCGAACAACTACGTGAAGAAATTTTAGCGAATTTGGCGCCTTCCTAATAATTTTGTATATTTTTTTAGATTTGAAAACTTTGTCATGTTTTATTTAGTCTGCGAAAAGCCAAAATTTTTATACATAGAATCGTTATCGGGTGAATTAATTTTTTCATTCTTTTTTTGTTAAACAGTTTAACCAAACTGTGATATAAAATTTCTTTATTGTGGTTTGATTTTGGCTTTTTTGATTTAAGAGGGAAAACTAATTAAAAACCATTATTTAATTTCATCAAATTCAAATTCATTTATTCAAATTTATTCATCTTAATTCAACAATCTACAGAAAATCGCACATAATTTTCCTTTCTGTTTCTTTGTTTCTGCTTTAATAATTTCACAATTGATTCCCATTCGGAGTTTTCGGCGAAGCTGAGAGGAGTATTTCCGAAACGGTCTATCGCATTAATATTTGCACCATTGCGCAATAAGTATTCAATCATTTCTTCATTTCGGGTTGTAACAGCCTGGAAATTTAATAGTCAATTTATTCATAAAAAATTTGATTTAACTTTTTTTTATATTTCATTATTTCTATAGCTCTGAAAATATTGTATTTTTATTGATACCATTATAATACCATTTTGGATTAAGTTCGTTGTTGTTTTTTTGTGGTCTTCAAATAAGTAAATAAATTGTTAATTATTTAATTTATTTTTCCTTTTTCTATTTCACCTCAATTATCCTATTTTATAATTTTTTGTAGAAAAGAAATGGTGGATTAAACGTTGTTATTTCAAGTTGTTTGAGAAAATATTTCAGCAGATTTTAGCAGAAATTGTTTGCAAAATTCTGCGAAATACAACATTCAAGTTAAAATGTAATGTAATTTAAAAAATATTTTGGGAATTTACGATATGAAGAGCTGTCCTTCCATCATAGTCAGTTTGATTGATGTCGGCTCCAGCTTTTATCCATGCATCCATGTCACTATAGTCTTCTCGGTATGTCGCAGAACATAATGCAGATCATAAAACCAAATTATTAAATTTGGGCTTTTAAAGTAAAATAATTTTGTCCATCTAAAATAAATTTAAGTGGTGTATATAAGTAGTGGTAATTTAAATTTTCAAATATATTACGTTTTTCCAAATTTTCAAATAAAAAATTATAAAATAGGTAAACAAATTTCGTTCGAAGACTGTGAAATTATCTAATTTTTACAGTATTGTATTGCCAGCGTTTAAAGTTTTGATATATTGGTTTTTTTCATGGGTTTTTTGTCTCAGTTTCTGCTATGTCAACTAGCATAGTCGTAAATTTCTTATATAAGGGTGACGGAGAGAACCAAGTGTCGGCGCAAGGTTGGCATGTTTTTTGAGAAGACCCGAAATATAAAACTCTATAATAATTTGCTTTTTTTGTTTTAGTTGGTATGTTCGAGTACTTTTGGCTCTTTTGTTTTCCTAGAAACTCTGCGCACTTAAAGGAGAAGAGCATTTTTTTTCGTTCAAAGATACGAGAACTCAAAGTTGTCTCAATCTGGACTTTAAGGACAGGAAACTAAGTGTTCAAAACAGAAAAACTGAACGAGCCGATTCAACTGGATTAAATTTCCAAGTTGAGCGGGAATTGTCATTGCAAATTTCTTCTTATTTCGAATTTTTGTCCAACCTATGTCTATTGGATCGCATCCGAAAACTGCTCCAGCATCTCGAAGTACTTGTATGCATTCTGTATTTCTACTTCGAACTGCATGCATTAATGCATTTTCTCCCCATTGGTCCCTATAAATGATAATTGTTTTTTAATATAAAACAATGGTAAGGAAACCATCGAAATGAGTTATTTTCATATTGAAAATCGTTGAAAGATTTTTAACTGATTAGTGAGATCAATGAAATGCAGCGAAATCGACGAATAAAGAATAAAGAAAAAATTTCAAGAGCAAAAGTCAGAGTGAAAAAATTTTTACTTGAAATTCACATTCGCTGCATGATCTAAAAGATATCTGACGGTTTGTGTACGTCCTGCGCCTGCAGCTATATGTAAAGCAGTTCGACCATTATAATCCGGCTGTGAGAATTGAGCGCCACTCTGCCGAAGATTGTCAAGTAAATCGAGATCATTATTTTGTGCTGCGTAACAAAGAAGTGGCGGAAAGAGCGCATTGCGTAAAAGTTGAACTTCTTCTGTTGAGTGAATGTGCAAGAATTTCGCTAATTGTGGAACTGTAATTCTATTGAGTATAGACAGGCATAATTCAGACATTTATGTCGATGGATATCGAATAGGTCAAACTTCCTATATTCGATCCCTGTGATCTGATGAAAGTAAGCTTGTCATTAAGAACCAGGAAGGTGCTGAAGAGCCATCTATACTGTTCCAATCTGCACCATCTGTTCTACGAAGGGATTTCATTCTAATAGGTGGTGGAGTCACCGAAATCAGGAATGGTGCATACTTTTAAAAGAAGACAAAACCAGTTCAGATCACGACAATTTATTTAATAAACATCTTAAATTTTAAATTTAAAATTTTTCTCCGTATTTGTTTGACAAAATTTAGTAGATTTGTATGAAATTTAATTAAAATTATTTTAGCTTATTTGTATTCTAATTTATTTTAATTTTATGCAATAAATAATTTTATAGTGCGTTTGCTTACAACAAAAAATAAACTTTTTTTCAAATTTCACTTTCTAAATTTTCTCTTATTAAGTAAAAAAAAGGAGAAATAAGCAATACCATTTCTGGTTAGTCTAACTCAAATGGCTGTTAGTGCATCTAGAAATTTTTGCCAAGGAATCGCTTGGCTGGTAGAAAAGCAGGTAGATCGCTAGCGTAATCCGATTTCAATTTTTTATAGAATGAGATGAAACAAACTGATTTCTAAGTCCTGTAACGTGTCGTAATTTGTAATCGTTAGCTCTCCACGAATGTTTCGCTGCATCATCTTTCTTTTAGTCTGTAAATCCCATTCATCCTTCGCCAACACATAAGATAATTTGGTTATAGCCGATTCAACTGTCATATCTGATCCAGAAATCACTCCAACATCGTATAAAATCTAGAATCTTACTTGTTAGAGGAGATATCCATAATTCTTATTTGAGATATCCATGTGCTATTAAAACAATCTATTCATATCTCATACTTTTCAGCGGAATAAATTTTTTCCATCATTCATTAGTAAAATGTTTTGAATCATCAAATCTATAATCTACAACTCTTTATTTCCTCAGATAAAACATTAAAATTTATCAAAATATTACAGACTTTTCCTGTCACATAATGCACGTCAACTCTTCCTCGTAAGCACTGCGAACAATTCACGATTATACATCCTCGTTCATGGGCTTCTTTGATTATTTCAATAATATCAGTTCTTCGTGACGGCATATTGCCTGCACCATATGTTTGCAGTATAACACCTTCCATTGGAGGTTGCAGGAAAGTTTTGACCTTGAAATCAAAAATAAACAATTTATAACGAATGAGTAGGTCGATTTATCATTTATCATTCTAATCATTTTAGTTTAATTTTGTTTGGTCAATGAAAAAATCTGGCAAGAAAAAAGATCAAAATAAAATAATTATTTGAAATTTTAACTAATATTTAAACTAATATTTGGCAAAAATCACCAATTCAATCGAAATAGATGGAAATATCCGAAGTAGTCCAACATTTCTACATAAAGTTGTACAAACTGAAAATGGCTGAGAACTTTGAGAACGAAATATGGATTCATAGTTCACTGAAAAGGTAGAAAAAGTGAAAATTTTCGTAAATGAAGAATCATCAAAATATTTATTTGTGCATTGATTTAGCCACTTTTATTTATAATCCAAAATCATTTAACTGAGCTTTTCATTTAAATTAGTACCTTTAATATTGATCTCCATATGCGCAATTGGTAACATATTTGGACTATCAAAAGCTTCAAGCCCACTATTATCAAGTTTGACAGATCGATTGCCGCGGTAGAGCTTATTGTTAAAGAATATAGTTACTTCAGGTATATCATAATTGGCAGCCATGATTAAGGCGCCAATCAAATTTTCGCGACCATCAGAACGAACCTCACAAACTGGTATCTGAAAATCCCATATTTACTTTCTCTTTTTTCGAAATATCTTGAATGTGTTGCCATTATTATTGGTCCGAGCATCATGGTACTAACACCTGACGAAAATAATTTTCATTAAAGATCCGCGTGGTGCTGAAGACCCAACTACAATCAGCAAATAGCCCTTCTTTTTCCATAATAGGATTAAATTTTGTTTATAAAGTTTGTTTAAAAAAATTCAGTCTTATAACTTAAATTATTTTGAGCTTATCATTCTCAAATGTTATTCTGTAAGAGAATATAGAAATGATTCTCTTTTCTTAAGGGAAGTAAGGACAGTGACTTCTCATCGCTGTGAATCATTGAATTATTGAAAAAAATTGTTAAATTATTGAATAAAATATCCATGCCCCAAACCAAATTTAGCCAGTTTATTAAAAAACCCATTATCAACGGAATCAATTGAAAAGAACCTGCGAACCAGTTAAAATCACTGGTTTTGTCAAATTCTCAAGCATAAAAGATAACGCCGAAGCTGTATATGCAAGTGTGTCTGTTCCATGCAATACCACAAAACCGTCGTATGACTTATATGCCTTTTGTATGTCAACACCGATGCGAATCCAGTCATCAAACGTCATATCTGATGAATCCAAGAGTGGTTCATATTCCACCACCTATTTATTTTTCATTTTGATGCATCTTAACGATTCAAAATCGAAATGTCATTAATTTTTCCATTTTTATGCGTTTATGCGTTTTTTTACAACTTAAATTTGTTATAATTGTAAGATCGTAGATAGAAAAAATGTGATGAATATAAAGCTGTTTTTTAAGATTCATTCATGTCACCAACCCAGTAAACAATTCGTTTTAGAGTGTTTCTAACTGGTGGAAGACAGAAAGGCTTCAGTGAACTGTAATTGTAATTCTTTTCGATATATTTTTCATCATTTAATGGTGGTAATTCTCGAATTGCTCGCGGCAAATAATGTTGCTCAGGACAGTAAACTGCAATTAGAAAAATTCAATAAAAACCGAAAATTTATAACTTTTCTGCAAGTTCCTGCCAAAATACTGATGATAAATTATAAGGTATTATTTCTAGAAATTGATTATATTGATAGTGTTGAGGCTAATAAATGGGAAACTATGGCCACGGAATACTGATGTTCCTATTATATCGTGAGAAAAAATCCGTAAGCTTCAGCTGAACCTCAAAAATAAAGTCACTGGTGAAAATTAGACATTTTGAAATGTTCCATTAAAAATTTTTTTCCAAAGATTAATCAAACCTACTGCCTTTATTACTCTTCATTCCAATCGTTCCACCGGTATATAAGACAAGTATCCATGCCTCATTGTCCACATTTAAGTCCGGTACCATCGAAAATTTTTTAGAAGGTCGACGAGGAAATACTTTTGCTAGTTGCTGAAGTAATATAATGTTTCAGTCGCTAAAGTTATTTCACGTCATAAAACTTTAATAAGACAGGTTTGCTCCTGTTGGAAGCAGGATTCGAATTCAGGATGATGTTCGGGACGATAACCTGAGCAACAATTGCTCGACTACGCTACTTCATGACCCATGTGCAATAAGGCAATTATTCTTCGTAAAATAATGCATTCGAAGGTGGCAATGAATTAATAAAATAAGAAAATAAAGACAGAGAAAATCTTGTAGATTTGTGCGAAGGTTTTTGACGAAAAATAACTAAAGAATAACTTTAAAACAGCATTGTTAAAACCGCTGCGGTAAAAAAAAATGAACCACTGTTTCTGCCATGTTTCCCTTTATATATGTGAATGCATTAAAAATGAAAATAAAGAATCAAAAATCTTCTTTTTCTATTTTATAATCATCACGTGAGATTATGGAATAATTTGAGAATAATTCTTACAGATGCAGAAGTAGATTTGACAATTGAACCTGTGTGTATGACAAGCTTCTTTGGTTGATGGTACTGATCGAGTGGTATTGTCGTTTCTCGTCTTACCCTATTCTCTTTATGGCTGGATGATTCCTCGATTTCATCGATGAGTTCCATATTTACGTTCTATAAAAGTAACTGCAGATCGTCTCAATTAAATATAAACGCCTTTTTCATGCGATAATTTCTTTTCCCCCAAATTTTTTTTTAAAGGATTTTCTTAAAATATGGTTTAAGAAGGAGAATGCCTGATACCACAAACTTTAATCAATGAATCGTAAAAAAAATAACGTAGAGGCTAATATTCAAAAAAGAACCGCAATGAGTTCGTGAAATTCATTTATAATCAGTTAATGATTAACTTCGGTCTCTCATGAAAGATGAAATCAAACGAAAAAACGATTCGATTCGACGTATCATTTTTTTGTATCTAATATTTTAGCAATTCTTGTTATATAATCAATTTAAATCAACCATAAAGTATTTCGTATTTAACAAAATTTTGCGATCGTTGGACACTAAGAATAGCTAATAAAATCACAAAATGGAAAGCATAAGGCTAAATTTTTAAATTTTTAATCATAACAATCGAATCCACTGATCTTAAATAAACGAGAAAAAATGAATAGTCCTTTAACTAAAAATTTTTCAGTTATGTGAAAAGCATTAAGAAATTATATGATATTATATTATATTATATGATACAGTTATATGATCCTCTACTTATAACTTATTATATACAGTTATATAATCCTCTAGTTATATGATCCTCTACTTTTCCTTTCCCTTTCCTTCTCACCCATTTCCATCAGTACTTTTTCATACTTTTTCATCAATAATTCGCCGTATTTTGGATAATTGTTTCATAGGCGAATTACACTGAAAAATATGGCTTTGAATCAAAGCATAGTGTAATGTGTACAGTTCCCATTGGCAATTAGCATAGAAATTTTATCATGGAGTCAGCAATAGAAGAGCCAGTATTACTCGTGATTTTTTTGATAGATTTATTCCAGCCAGGTCTAGTTGAAATAGAAAAATATTGAGCTAAAAAGCATGTTTACTAAAGGTATAAATTGTGAGTAGGTATAAATAGTAAGTGGATAGAAATGATTGCAAAATTTTGCTGAAGAGGACTTTCGTATAATTTAATAATCACCGGAGAATTTACCTGTTAAAAGCGAAGAAAATCAGACCAATATTTTTTTTAAATTTCTTTCCGGATTATAAATAAACTAATAAATGAAGATGTTACATAGTTTCAAATAAATTACGAAAGGAATTACAATTTATAACCAATTCAGTTGCAAATAGCCAAGTGAAATACATTTTATTAATTTAATAATAGGAGCAATGGTGATACTACAGTAATAAAATATCCCCAAAGATAAAAGATACTACATATAAGATAGATTATATAGTACGATCCAGCGCCAAATATATAAGCGTAAGCGCTGTCAAACTGTAATATCAAGAAAAAAACGCCAAAAACGCTAAATCGAATACTCCTATTAAAATAAGATATCAATAATTGTTTTATATCAATCGTTACAAAAGAATAAAAAGAGTGAAAATTTTCTTAAAAAAAATGAATTTTAAAAATTCCTTAAAAGCTACTGCAAAATCGTCTCTTGGTGGTATTTCAAACCAAAGATCTCATTTGCTTACATTGAAAAAATTCCTTTTCTTACCATTTGTCGATGTTGAAGGTTTTCTACCTCGTTTCTTTTACCAGAGGCCTAGTAGCTTGAACGTCGGTCCTGCTCAGCACCTTTTTAGCGGTATGTCTGAACAGAGATGTTTCTAGAATCTCTTAAAGCCAGTTTTTATCATATTATATATGTATATATGTTAAGCCAGCTGATACTACGAACAAAATGATAAGATTCGACTACTGAAAAAAAAACAAGAGCAAGTGCTACACTCCACTGCCTTAGAAGGCTACAAAGCACTGGTCATTAGAGAAGCAGAGGCTAAAAAGATAAATGGTTGTTCTCCAAAGAATCATCCAAAGTGTACTCTCAATTCCAGTGCAACCGATGTGGTAACCGATAGCAGAAACTGAATTTTACTGGAAGAACATATGGGAGAAAAAACGATTCATAACGTCAGCGCAAAGTGGCAACAACATGAACAAACTACAGCAATTCTTCCAGAGCGGAAATAAATTACCAATTACCATCAAAGTTGCAGACATTCAATAGGAGGTTGAAAATATGAAAAACTGGATAGCAATAAGGATAAAATCCACGCTTATTGGTTAACAGCGGTTCATGAATGCCTAATAATATAGAACCAGTTGCTTGTGGCATGTTCTCAGACTAGTTAATATAGGGAGTGATGAAACTGATCATGAAGGACCTCCCTAAAAGTAATATCGTCCAACTACCGACCAATAATCTTTTTCCATAATATGGAAACCACTATCAGACATTATAGCTATTAAGCTAAGGGACCATATGAACCAGTGCATGAGCACAGTTCAAAAGGTCATTGGGTCAAAGGTCATTGACAAAGGTCAACCAGAGGACTCGAAACATCAGCTATCATAGATAGAGCTGTCGCTCAAGATTCAAGGTCCCCACAAACTAAACATGGATCGACTATAGGAAAACCTATGACTCTACATGTGGATCTGCACATATCTGACTCTAAAGTCAACAGAATTCTTAAGATCTTCATACAATGGGACTTATGGCGATTAGAAGTTAACTCAAAATAGCTTGCACAAATGGCTATTAAGTGTGGCGTATATCAAGAAGACATATCTCCTCTACCGTTCCTCATAGTTCCCCTCAATCAGATGGTCACGGAAGCGGATATGGATTTAAGAGCGGATTACCATCAGCCATCTTCTCTACATGGATGTCATCAAGCTATATGCTAAAAGCAAAGAGGCATGGACTCGCTCATTATCTTACTAATATATGCTTTCGGCATCGGAGAAAACATCTAGTCACGTATAACTCTTCGGGGAACCAATATTCCAATCAGATTGACTATATTGGTCAGTCACCGCTGGAAGATTTTTCACTTGATAGTCGTTCTTATTGGGGTGCTGAAACAGGTAATCGCTATGGGTCAGGTCATTTTATGGTTCGAGATAAGATTCTATATAAAACTAACAAATCGTAAGAAACAATGTATCCCAAGATCTTTCAGCTATCTCAAATTAAAAGATCCGGGAACAATAAGCGCATTTCAAACCGTATTATATGAAACACCTCAGTGAAATGTCAATAATATTTCTGGAGACGAATGAATACTGGTCTCAATTAAAGCGATGCCTACAAAAATCAACCATTTTCACACTAGGATATACTAGTAGAAAATATGCTATTTGGGTGTCGGAAGCAATTGTCCAATTGTCAGAAATGCCAGCGAATATCAGGAGATCCTGACTATCGAGTTCTTCGAAGAATTGCAACGACAGCGGGACAGAAATCGCTATTGGAGCGATATGGCCTTGTGAATGGAGACAGCGACTCGGATAAGTGATAATAGGAAACTTTTCGCTGAGAAGCGGTCGGTGATACGGTATATTAATAGGGCGCCTATTAAAGCTATCACCTCAGAAGATGGAAAGAATTTTTTAAAGCCTGTTGGCCAAACATAATCACGATGCCCTATCTGTTGTCTCGAATAAAACTGATTCACCCTTCGAGCCTTACGTTTGCAACTGTGAACCGCCAACAGAGGAGGAAATAATGTCTATAATTCATAAGTTTAAGGCCAATAAAACTTCTGGAATTAGCCTACTGGACATCTCTGGAAAAATTTTTGCTTTCATTCTGCTAAATAGACTCATTTCAACACGAGATAGCATAATGCATCCTAATCAAGTTGGATTCAGACCAGGACGAAGTTGTGCTGACCAGATTTATGCTAAGAAAAGTGCTGGAATATCCTTCAAATACCAGGAACCCACCATCACTTGCTTCAACGATTTTGCAGCTTGCCTTCGATTCGAGGCGCTCTGGGAAGTTATGGAATGTGACAGTGTTTCAGAGAGGATCATTCGATTCATAAAAGCATTTATCAGCATACATTAGCGAAGATCTGTGTATATGGGAAACTGGTAGATTCCTTCGAAATAAGAACTGGTGTCCCTCATGGATGCGTCCTTTCCTCTACAATTATGCGATAGCCTAAATAATGGTCATCGCTTGTCGGCATTCAAGAGGTGTGCAAATCAGTCCAGAGCTTAGCATCATAGATCTGAATACGCTGATGATTTAGTGACCTTTTTGACCTTTTTACAGCGAAAATTGGGCTTAATGTAAATAATACAAAAGTCTTATACAAGATGCTGATAAAATACCTATTTTTCATTAATACATTGCCATTTGAGGAGGTGCTCGATTTTAAATATCACGTGTCGAAAACTTTATTTGCAAATTTCGCATAAAGTTATGAAACAGCAACAGTTGTACCCTGGAAAAAAAAATAATTTCTACACAATTTTTTATGTAATTTGCATAATATTGTAAGCTCAACTCATATATGGGCAAAATCTAAGCTCCTAGAATCCGTTCGGAGTGTGTTTCAAACGAGAAAGGAGACTTCAGACGACCAACTATTCTCTCCTCAAACCAGAATTTAATGCGATATTCTCATTTTTTAATTTAATTTTATTTGTCTCCTTGACCAAATTGTTATACTATTGTAATATATTTTTACTATAATTCAACGGTAAATTAAATTTTCCCTTTCGACTCATCACAACAACAACAAAACACTGTTTTTTCCAACTGGATCCATCCTGGATCCACTGTGATTCAGGCAAAGGATGCAATTGTAATTAGAATAACGACAACCAGAAATATATTTTTCCGGTTGACTTTATGGAATCATCGTGAAACCACCATAAGGAAGAAAATCAGCAACCATATAGCTGCAATTCGCTCGATCTTGCTATATGGCTATGAAACACAGTAAATAAAAGTGGAAGATATTAAGAAGTTAAAAAGTTTTGACCATTCATATCTAAGACACATTTTATGGATCCGTCGAGCTAATAAAATCGCAATGATTATATTCATCTTCGTTCAAATACCCCCTGTATTAATGTTGTCACAGAATGTCGCCTTTGCTATTAGGACACGTTCTCTGTTGTCCACCACAGGAGTTGAAACATATTTCGCTATTTGCCGAACCCTGTTGGCGTCAAAAATGAGGAGGGCCAATCAAAACCTGGACTGATACGGTCAGGAAAGATTTTGAACGTATAGGTGGACCAGCGATATGGACTTAGACGATGGAAAAAGAAGTGGCTTCTACTACTGTCGACGATGGCGTCAGATCGCGTAGCTTGGAAATGTCTTACCCTTTTAACCAGCGAAGCAAGCCTAACCAGTAATGGTGAAAGCTGTTAGAAGAAGAAGAAGAAGTGGATCTGCTATCCGCTGGGATATATAGCAGATATAAGGACTATCTGCAAGTACCTTCATATCCCACAGTCACATGGCAACCATGATAGGGAGGCAAGGCATAATATGATATCGAAATACTAACAAAGAATAAAATATCTTGAAGATTCAGCTGAAATCACGCCATAGAAATGTACGCTTAGCAACTAATACATACTCACCTGGCATAGAAAGATGGCCATGATAAAGCAAGACGCTCCATAGGATGCACCATCGATAGATAGCTGAGGCAGTTGACATTGAGAAATCTTAGCAGAAGATGGAAAAAGCCTAGATAAAAATACACTGATCGTAATCTTGAGAGATTGGTCATAGAAGTACAAGTGCACATCAGAGAGAACTCAAGGTGAAGACTGTGTAGAAATTACTCAACTGCCCAACAGGTAGTGGCAAACAAAATGCGCCGAAATGCATAACCAAGTAATTGGCATTTACTATGGCAATATTTGTTTAGTACATGGTTTAAAATCCATGTCCAAATTGTCCAAATAAGATATATATAAATAAGATGAAGCCTCTGTTATTAGGTTACTAGGACATGTTCCCAGCCTTTGAAGGTATTTTTTAGTTTCGATTCGTCCCAACGATGAAATGAATTGGCCAACATAATTCATTCATTGCCATTCGACTTAAATTACTGGTTTTGCAATCTGTTTTGTATTTGTTCTTTTTATTTCAATATTTTTGGTGAAGGATTTTAGAAATAGACTATCAAATTAATTGGATTATATTTTAGATTAGATTTAGATTCAGATAGATTCAGATTTAGATTTTACCTATAAGATTCACCATTTCTGGTTTGGCTCACTCCACTGATTAAGAGTGTAACTCATTTGCCAGAGAATCACATAGGGATAGAAATACAGATGAACTTTCAGAAATTAAAGTAAGTCGCGTCAAGAGGTAACCATTGAATCCATGATGACTTGACTTCATGGAAACAACTGTGCCATTCGTTGATTCTTCCATTCAAGTTCCATTTATAGTGAGTCGAAAGCGGTTTACTGATAAATAAAAAGAAATACTTTTAAATAATTCTATTATATTACCTTTTCCAGATAAATGTACATACATATAAGGAAGTTATACAAATACCGGTCAATGAACCAGATATCGTGGTAGTAAACAAAAATCAGAATCAGCACTGACGATGGAGCTAGCAACCAAGTGACAGAGACGTTAGGAAGAAGGAATATGAGAAGTATGGAAATACCAGCTGAAAAAGAAACTAGTGCAGTGGAAAGTGGAAGCTAAAGTAATCCCAGTGATAATTGGAGTACTTGGAACTGTGATCCCTAAGTTCGAAAAGTAGCTTCAAGGAACAAGATTCCAGGAACAACATGAGAGATTTCTATCCAGAAGAAAGCATTGCCAGAAACAGCCAACCCTCAGTCTCAGACTTCTACTAGAAGCCCTGGGGTTAAGGATGATCCTTACCATCCACAGGAGGTGATAAAGAGATTATTTTATATTACATGCACGATACCCAAAAATTTATGCGATTTTTTGGTGCAAATTAATTGAATCAAAATAAATCTAAGAGTAAATAACAATATTATTATATTTTATATAACAATATTATTATATAATATTAAATAACAATATTATTATATTTGAAAGTATGGGAAGAATGGATTTAAATATCAATCTTGGTTATAAAGTATTTTAAGACAAAATGAAATATGGAAGGACAAAATAGGCTCTTCATGACGAATATGAACTGACATTTAGCCTCGAGAAATAATATTTGTAGTAATATTAATATTTGTGCCAAGTTGATCGATGAAGATTTGTCTCATAAGTAACCAGCAAATATTAAAATCATTCGTTGAATAAGTGATATAATCTATAATAAACCAGTTTAAGAGAATTTTTTCCTTTTTTTCATTTCTGTCCGTAATACAACATTACACAAAAAATTTTATCGCATAACTATGGTGAAATCACAAAATATTTATTATTTCTAGTATCTGCGATTGTTTGGCTTGGCTTGTTCCATTGACTGACTACTTAAGATGAAACCCATTCACCAGAGAACCACTTGAGAATATAATTTTTAAAACTAGAAAAAAATAGTTTTAAAAATATTTTATTAGGATTTCCAAGAATTTGAAATTTTAATAACTTCATGATTCCTTTGTATGATGAAAAATTTTGTATCAACATACTGAATTTAAACAGCATAAAAGAAAAAAATCATCAATTGTATAAAAATGCATCAATTTTCGAAAATTATTTATAAAAATCATAAATAAAATACACTTAAAGAATGAAAGGATTGAATCATCGTTGTTGTGGGAAAAATATGATGGTATAGTAAAATTTCGGGACACGATACTGGGATTTTATATCAACTAGGAGCAAGCTTAGGTCGGAAATCCAGGTAATGCTGGCGACGCACTCTATATTTCTATCGCCAAATAACTTCCTGGTTAAACTTGTTGGTCCTTCAAACGGATGAAGCGGATTTTACCACGAGTGGTGGACGCTTTTAGAAAAAAATAGAAGTAAAATAAAAAAGAAAAATAAAATCATTATGGTTTGAATCGTGAATAAAATTTATAATCATATCGTATTAAATTTTCTTACGGGATTATTTTTGACTTTTTAAAAGTATTTCCAATAATATTTTAAACATAGAAAGTATTAATTAATGATATTTTAAAGTAAAATCAACCTAAATAACTGAGAAAATAGCGATGATTTCCTAATATTTATTTTCTTAAAAGCTTTTATAGTTCTCATTTTTTTTATTAATTCATTATTATAGATGACCGATATTTTATTATTACTGGCGGAATGTTATTTGTTCCTAAAATTTCAAAAGGCTCAAAAAACATTATTTTAAAACATAAAAAAACAGATTAAGGACTAAGGAAGTTGAATATTAAGCACACCACACGACTTAAACACTAAATTTTAAAAAAAAGTGAAGCCATTAATAAAACCATTTCATAAAATCGTTGTACAAATATTGTTCCGCACAAAAAATCTTCGACATTTCAGCTGTTTTTATTTACTTGTACGATTTACCGTTTTCTTTTTTGCTTCGAATGATTCTATCTTTTTTAGAACAGAGATAAACAAAGACAAATTTGCGATGCGAAAAAATTTTTTAAGGTTTTGATCTGAAATTTTCAAACTTGTAATTTTTAAAAAGCCTATATAAACTTTATTATCACAACAATGTATAATATGCGTGTGCGTTTGTGTGTATCGAATCCATCCCATGTGATGGTAAACCATATATTGCAATTAGACTATGGTAAACCATATATTGCAATTAAACCATATATTGCTGTACATAGGACTTGGTTCAGCTTAAAGTAGAAATAGTTATATATTCCAGTTTAACTGGAGATCAGTTTGTCATAAATTCTTTAAAAACTTTTATTAAAACATGGACAAGTGAAGTAAGAAGCATAAAGAACTTTACAAAGAAATCAAAACTACGATACGAAAAAATTCAATAAATTGTTTAAATTAAAAATGGAATTAAAAAATTAAACTAAAACAGCATTCAACGTAATGAAAAGAATCGTTAGAAAGATTACAGTGAATTTATATTAAATCTTTCCATTAAAAATTGATCGGTAATTGGTAGCAAAATGGGAAGAATTATGGGAAAAGGAAAGGGAAAGGGAACTAAGCCCAGTGATTTCTGTTTATGTTCAAGATTATGTGGGTATTTAGTACGATTTAATTCGAGCATCATTGCATCAGCTAATTCATCCACATATTTGTCTTCGATTCTGCAATTTATTGATTCTGAAATGCCCCCCATATTTTTCCGTATATCAGTATTTATAGCAAGATTGAAATTATTTTTAACGGCATTGTTTGAAGCAGCCTCTTCTATGATCTTATTAGCATCCTTGGCCATCCAACTTGGATTTCTCTTTTTTGCATCGCAAAATGAAAACTGCGAAGAGAATGAGAATGGATAAGAAGGAATACTTTCCTGTCGAATCATAGATGCTTTAATTGGGTAATGTGAAGGATAATTAAACTGATTAAGTAAAGTAGAAGGATCTACTATAGACATATTTGCATTCGATTTAGACCGTAAGTTTGAATAACAATGTGGGAGCCGACCAGCTCGGACATCATCCCAATAGCGTTTATTAAGGCGATATGATGGATGTGGCCGAGCTTCTTTTATCTTTTTTCGTTTCTTTTCAAAATGAATCGGAAGTTTCTTAGTTTGTGCTTGGGTTGTTTCCTTTACGTATTGAAACGGATTGTTTTTCTAAAAAAGTTAGGCCATATAAAGAAAGCAAAATATAAAAAATATAAAAAACGAGTTCAGAAAAAAAAGTGAACATTCATACTGTCAATAGATAATTAGTGTAACATAGATTCTGTATCAATATCTAATTCATTCTTACATATCTTATATCTTTATATTTCCTTATATTTCAACTTTTTCCTAAAGCTAATTTCTTATTAGCTTTTATATAATATTTATTTATAATTTATAAGCGATAAGATTTAGAATTCATCGATCCTTAAATAAGATAAAAAGATGCGGATAATCTCTTAAGAGCAGGTCATTGCTGACTGAAGAAATGCCGACAGAATACAATATTAGTTTAGATAAATTCCTTTCTTTGTTCATTTATTTATTTTTTCACCATATTTTTTCCTTAAAATCTTCTTATTGGTATGGTATACTGAAAAAAATTCAGTGGATTGCGTTGGCATAAAGGAAAATTCATGGATTACAGCGAAAAAATTGGAAGATCATTTGTACTGCTCGCTTCGATAACGAAATAAAAATAAACTTACAAAAAAACTTAAGGTTGTTTCTTGTCGTAAAATATCTAATTTATATGCATTGAAACACTGATCCGAACAAAGCCTTATAATCGCATTTCCATTCGTTGTCCTATATTCATATAACTGATTTGATCGCTAAAAACATCTATTAGATACTTTCTGAAAGGATCTTGTGCCGTAGCAAATTTGACAAATTTAAACATGGTGAAATTAACCTAATGATCTGTTTTGCACAATTCATTCAGAAGTTCCAATAAAGAATAAAATTTTAAGCAAAAGTTTACGCACAAATCAATTAAAACATTTTAAGCAAAAATTCATGCAAAAAAACCGAAATGATCAAAAATTTCTCGGAATTTGTACTAATAATTTTAAAATATTTATCACAATAATTATTGATCACAATAATTATCATAATAATTGATTTGATTGCACTAAAATAGTAATAAATAAATATAACGTTGCCAGTAAATACTTTTAAATATAATAGAAATGCAAATGAGAATAATTCAATTATTCTCGAATATATTTACGTAACTGAGGAATTTCCTTTATTTCCAAGTTAAAACAACTATTAACCGATTAATCAAATTAAAAATTATTTGAAATAATTGATAATTATAAATAATAATTGATAAAATATAAATAATAATTGACAATAATTGCAAATCATCTTTTCTTCTATTTGGTTAAATTTCGTAAATCTTCATGGAATATTAAAGTACTTCTGGAAAATTTGTTGATTCCTCCTCATTTTGCAATTGTTCTAAGAAACAAAGAGACAATTGCTTATTGCCTTTTAATAATTTTAAATTGTCGACTACCAATTCAAACAACATGCTTCATCACTATTCCTGAAATGGAGTAAGCCTTGAGGTATTAATGAAGTCCACCTGTGCTATCATACCCATTAGCCACTCCGGTGATCCTTATCATATGTTAATGCTAATTAAATCGGAAATGGCGAATACAGTAGAAAAAACTTAAATCGCTCAACTTGAAACACTCTAGGCTTTGCTAAAAAATTAAAAAAACTAAATAAATAATTTTTAACGATGAAGGAGCAATGATAAATCTTAAGAAAAATTCAGTGGGAAGTAAGTCAGATAAACTTATTTTACTGAAGGCATATGCCATCAAGATTCGAATTTCATTTGTAGCAAACGAGCAAGTTTTAAATGATAAAAATCTATAGAGTTTCAATATTAGATAGCAAAAATATCTTTTTATTTATTAATTTATCAATAAAACCTCAATGTTTAGGGAGAACCTATCCGCCAACACTTTGTAAATGCGGTAAGGTGCTGGCTATAGCTGCTTGGAACGTCAGAACTAATGGATGTTGCAAGCCAAGCGATCACTACCCACATCCTTTCTAAATACCGCACGGATGTGGCTTCTTTGTTGAAAATTCGTCTTCCTCATGTCGGCTCTCGAATAATTATTAAACCTGGTTCCGAGCAAAGATATTAGCTATATTACTGCGGTGTTTCGGATAATCGAGGCGAAATGGCGCAGGAATTATCTGTTTGAAAAGGCTCGATCCACTCTGATTGAATGGAGGCCAGTAAATGACCGTATGGCCTACTCGCGTTTCAAGGGAAAATTCTGTAATATTTCGGTCATCAGTATATATGCTCCAACTTTATGAGCAGATGATCGCGATAAGTTCTATGCGGAACTTCAACTGTTAACACCATTACCGAGACGTGACATGGTCATAGTCGAGGAAGACTGGAATGGGCACGTAAGTCATGGTGCCATTAAACTAGATAACTGATAAACATGGCATCGGAGTCCAGTGCACTCAATGGACTCCTTTTTCGTTTTGCCGAAAAGCATAAGCTTTATCTTACTAATATGTGCTTTCGGCATCAAAGAAAACATCTAGTCACGTGGGCAACCAATATTCCAACTGACTATATATTGGTCAGTTATCGCTGGAAGAGTTTTCACTTGACAGCCGTTCTTATCGGGGTACTGAAACCGGTAATCGCCATGGATCCAGGTCATTTTATGGTTCGAGTCAAGATTTTGTATAAAACTAATAAGTCGTAAGAAACAGCGTATCCCAAGATTTTTCAGCTATCCCAAATTAAAAGATTCGGGAACAATAAGCGCATTTCAAACTGTATTATATGAAACACCTCAGTGAAATTAATGTCAATAATATTTCTGGAAAGGCGAATGAACACTGGTCTCAATTAAAGAGATGCCTACAAAAATCAACCATTTTCACACTAGGATATACTAGTAGAAAAATATGCTATTTGGGTGTCGGAAGCAATTGTCCAATTGTCTGAAATGCCAGCGAATATCAGGAGATCCTGACTATCGAGTTCTTCGAAGAATTGCAACGACAGCGGGACAGAAATCGCTATTGGAACGATATGGCCTTGTGAATGGAGAGGGTAGTTCGGATAAGTGATAATAGGAAATTTTTCGCTTTCTTCAACTATAACTCGAGAAGCGGCCAGTGATACGTATATTAATGGGGCGCCTATTAAAGCTATTAAGGATCGCACCAGAAGATGGAAAGAATTTTTTAAGGCCTGTTGGCCAAACTTAATCACGATGCTCTATCTGTTGTTCCGAATATAACTGATTCGCCCGTCGAGCCTTACGTTTGCAACTGTGAATCGCCAACAGAGGAGGAAATAATCTCTATAATTCATAAGCTTAAGACCAATAAAACTCCCGAAGATGGTCTTTGAGCCGAACTCTTCAAATATATTCTCTGGTATGGCTAAAGGAAATAATACCAGAAGACTAAGGAGCAAAGCAATTCTGTTTCCAATTCCTAAGAAAGGTGACAGGACGTATTGCGATAGTTACAGAGGAATTAGCCTACTGGATATCTCCGGAAAAATTTTTGCTTTCATTCTGCTAAATAGACTCAATAGACACGAGATAGCATAATGCATCCTAATTAAATTGGATTCAGACCAGGACGAAGTTGTGCTGACCAGATTTACGCTAAGAAAAGTGCTGGAATATCGCTTCAAATACCAGGAACCCACCATCACTTGTTTCAACGATTTTGCAGCTTGCCTTCGATTCGAGGCGCTCTGGGAAATTATAGGATATGTTTCAGAGAAGATCATTCGATTTATAAAAGCATTTTATCAGCATACATCGGGGCAGATCTGTGTATATGGGAAACTGATAGACTTCTTCGAAACTGTGTCTATCATGGTTGCGTCCTTTTCCCTACAATTATGCGATAGCCTGGATAATGGTCATCGCTTGTCGGCACTCAAGAGGTGTGCAAATCAGTTCAGAGTTTAGACCATGAATACGCTGAAGATGTAGTCAATTTTGCTGATTTTTTTAAAAGTCTTCACCATTACTGGTTAAACTCACTCTACTGGCTTGTTGCACTGGGCAATATTCCAGGGAGTCCCTTGACGATAGAAATATAGGTGAGTCGCCAGCATCACCCGGAGTCCTTTTTGCTGATAATTATAATAAATGCAAATAATGTTAAAAAATATGTCAACAACTGCAGCAAGAACTCAGAATTAATATAAAAATTAATGTAATTTTTTTGTCTTACAAGATGTTGATAAAATACTTGTTTTTACCAATTTATTGCTGGTTGAGGAAGTGCTAGAATTTAAAGACCTTGAATCCACTCTAATCTTAAATGACCAGGCAAAGAATGAAATTGTGACCTGGATAACGATGGCTAGAAAAGTATTTTTCCGGTTGATGAAACTTCTATGGAACCGTCGTGAAATCACCATGAAGACGAAAATCTGTGTCCATATAGTTGCAATTCGCTCGATCTTGCTATATAGTTGCGAAACATGGCCAATGAGAGTGGAAAATATTAAGAAGCTATCAAGCCTGGACCACTCATGTCTAAGACACATTTTAAGGATTTGTCGAGCTGATAAAATCGCACATGATTGTATCTATCTTCGCTCAAATACCAGCTTTATTAATGTTATGACAAAGCGACGCTTTCGCGAGTTAGGGTATGTTCTTCGTCGTCCACCACAGGAGTTGACGCATATTTCGCTACTTGCTGAACCCCGTGATGGTTGGCAAAAGCGAGGAGGACCTATCAAGACCTGGACTGGTACAGTCAGGAAAGATTTTGAATACATCGGTGGGAGCAGCGATATATGGACTTAGACGATGGAAAAAGGAATGGCTTCTATTACTAGTAGCAATGGCGTTGGACCGAACAGCTTGGAGATGTTTTACCCTTGTAACCAGCGCAACCAGCTTAACCAGTAATAATGAGAACTGTTAAAAGAAAATTTATTATTCAGTATTTTTATTGATACTCAAGCTTGTAAAACCAGCTTTACACCTTAGGAAAAACGGAAAATTTCATCAAAGAGCAGTCTTAATAATCTTGAATTTTTAAATAACAATATTTTGAGCAAGCTAGCCGAATAGATAGTTGTTGAGTGACAAGAGTTTAGCCCTTTCCTCCAACAGGATAAATAAAAAGCATTGCTGGTGACGACCTATATATACTTTATCGCCCAATGTATCCATAGCAAAAATTTTTGAGCCAGCAGAGTTGCTTCATTAGAAATGTCGCACAAAAAAATTAGGCCATCTTAGAAAAAAACGGGTTCTTCAAAACTGCCGATAAAAATTGCAAAATTGCGAATATTTTTGTTTTAAAAATATTTGCATTTATAGGACAATCGAATTCATTTGTATTCAGTTGGGGCCTATTTTAAGAAAATAATGATTAGATTCAGAAATCTAACCTCGAGAAAATCGAATATTTTAAGAGTTAGTTAAATGGTGTCAGATTGCATTTGTAACTAACTGCACGACGATATATGTTTGAATTACAAGTTGTCAAATATTTCTCAAAGAAATTAAATCCATCCATTTTCTATATATCGTCGGATTATTCCCATTAAATGAGCTTACTTCAGCTCCTTTTAGTTCCTTATTTATTCATAATTTCAGTCTATTTAAAAAATATTGTAGAATTCCTAATTCGAAAATTTTTCATCGAAATGAAGACAAACTGCAACAAATTTAATAATGAAAAATATTTGTATAAAATTTTATGAATTTTTTGAAGTCCTTTTTATTTGGGCACTCATTAACTAATAAGAATGTCTCATTATCTAATAGAGGCGCTTTAATATCTAATAGAAATATCTAATTACTCAATGAGAATACACCGTGAACAAAATATATCGTTAGAATCTATGAATTACTAATTAGCTTATAAGTTATTGATGCAGAATTCAAAATTAAATTAATACAGTAATGAATTATTAATATAGCCAAAAAGTCCGAAAATTTGATGAAAGCAAAGCAAAATATTTTAGAGATAAATAAATTTAATAACATCAAAGATAGGATAACAAAATGGATGGTAGCTTGGAACCTCGTGTTAAGAGGCAGGATCATGGCCTCCGAAGGAATAAATTTAAAAAATAAAATAATAAATAATAAGAAGGAATAAATTTTCCAGTGGTGTTGCATGATTGGAAATGCTGAGAAATAGCGATTAATGATTGATAAACTAATGGAGCCATGATCAACGGGAAATAGTTTTCGTATAAGCTCTCAGTGAAATCCACAACATTTTTAAATATTTACTGATTATTCATACAAGGGAAAATCAAATTAAAAAAACAAAAAAAATTACTTTCACCTAAACTTAGATGCAAGGAGTATGGAACTGAGTTGCTGTTCTTATTTCGAAGTGCTGATGACGCCTATCTTTCAAAAATCCGAGTGATAACTTGCGTATACTTCTGTCTCCAGGCGATTTCCTGGCAAAAATTTGCCCAATCCACTAGAGCCACTAGAGCGAACCTAACCAGAAATAGTAAGGAAGCTACAAAGGAATATCAAATTTTAAACATTTATTAGATACTCGTTTTAATTCTTTAATTACGCACCTTAATAATACTATTTGCTTTCTAAAATTTAATTTTTATTCGAAGCAAATTGTTGTCGGAATTTTTTTATTCAAAGCTAATCTCCAAAATATGATAATTTTTTGCATGTATAGAACGTAAACATAACAGAAGACTTTTGCCACATTATTTAACTACCATAATTTAAGAAATTTTCTTCTTAAAGATTTTATTTGTTAATATTATCGCAATTTTTTATTTTTCTATTCTTATTGTTATTATTACTAATATCATTATCATCAATCATTATTATTGTTTTGTTGTTATTATTGATATTATTATAATTATTATCATTATTATTGATCATCTTCAACATCAATATAATAGAGTGAACTTAATATTTCTTACTCTTATCATATATATATATATATATACATGTATACATATATATTTAATCACACATTTATTTATTTATTTAATTACACATGTAACTAATCTACTGGCTTCAACTCCCACCATTTTTAGTTAAACTAGTTCCACTGACTGTTGATATGATGAAAAAATAAAAAATAAACGGTATCACTGGGCCATAGAAATGTAGAAGTGAGATGTCACCAGATTCTTCTTTTTCTTTTTAAGAGTCCTCACCATTACTGGTTAAACTCGCTCCACTGGCTTGCCTCATTGAGCAATATGACAGGGAGACCCTTGGCGATAGAAGTACAGGTGAATCATCACCCAGATTTTTGTACAGGTTTGCTCCTGCGGGAAATCGAACGGCAGCTTCAGCTGCTCCAAATTGAGCAACAACCACTGAGCCATCCTATTCCCGATCTCACCAGATTATTTAATAACAATTCGTTCTTATCGCATATATCTGATACTTTTCTTAATATTACTTTTCTTTTTATATGTTTTTATTATTAATTTTGTATTATTTGGTTTTTGTACTTTTTATTAACAAAAATCAAAAGTAAATTAAAAGTAAAGTATAAACATGATATTTTAGGTTGTGAATAAGACAAACAGCAAACCATAAAACATCGTTGACAATATTGATGAATATTATTAATTTCACTGCATGGAACCATAGATTGACCACACTGATTAATAAATTGCTGCATGATGTAAAAACATGAAATGAACCAGAACGAGAACTACCTTGTAATCAACTAGAATTCAAGACAACAAAACCAATAGAAAAATATCGGATAACATTAAAGTCCCTCCCCTATGGTTCTCATATTTCAGAACAAAGTTACTTACTGTACAAAAGTAATTGAAATGTATAATGGAATACTTATTTTTCATTCTATTTTATCAAAAAGATTTTTTCATGAATGTTTTTGCAAATTTAAAAAAAAAATCTAAAAAAGTTTATAAAAAATGGGATGTTTGCATAGCCACATAAACTATTTATCGATATGAAATTTACTAGAATGAAACTTATTCCGGAAAGAGTGGTATTTTCTAAAAAATGCTAAAACCTTGGAATTGAACTTGGCAAATCCGTAATTGCGGCAGGATGAGGGAAAATTAGGAACGGATGAGGAATATCATTTCTAAGAAAGTTTTGCGTTAGAAATTTGACTATAACGTTAATCCCTTTCGCATCACCTATTCCTTGTTTTCGAATTAAATCGACCACTGTTTTCTTTATGCCAACCATATTAATTAGCGATTAATAAACTAACGGAGCTCGACCAGTGGAAAATAATTTTCGTATAAGCTCACAGTAAAACCCATTAATTCAACATTAATATCGACTATAAGTTGATATTATTGCGTTTTAAGTTGAATTGGTCCACTGAGACGGAATGCTTACTTGAAATTTATCAACCCTAATTATGATATCAGCCAGCTAAACGGCTGAATAGCTGTTGCTTTCGTTTAGAAAAATAAAACAGCACACGTTCAAAATACGAACTGACTTCTTTCTCATTTCTCGAGCCTCGAAAATTTGTTTAAATAATTAACAATTATACAATCACTCAAAATTTTCCGAAGAAAAATTTATACACTCACTTCGGTCAAAGCAGAAACAAAATGTCGCCCACTCTATGTTTTTTTAGAATTCATCATAAAGCTTGTGCTACCCATACAAAACTTTTATAAATGCTGAAACTTAATTACTAAAGATGAACGAAAAATCCAACTGTTGTAGCAAAAAAAAGTGAAAAGAGAAATCCAATACTTTATCGAGCGTTTATTTCTCTTAGCGAATCCTTTGAGATGGAATTACTAGAGTAAGAATTATGATGTTGAACGTATCGTATAACACAGAAGTATTGAATTATATTGCTGGATAATTATTTCACTGTGCTATTTGTTCATTCAAATTTCTCAAATGCCAGAACGTTTATGAAAAACCAACTTTAATGATGAATTACTTTATTCCGAGCCATTACCGAATTCAACCAGAATAGCAAAGCTGTTGTTGTGTAAATTATAAATTCGACATGGCTCGACCTCTGACCCTCGCAAGAAAAACCTGCTATTGCAAAAAACAGCTCGGTAGTGCCGATCACATGATTCAATTACTTCATTATCTTGAGAGGGAATTAAGGAAAAGTTATGCTACCATCTTTAGCGAAACTTTATCTGTTAACCACCAGTGGTGCGAGCCTAACCAAAAATGGTATGCACCACAACTCATTTCTTTCTTCCAGCTGAACTATATTATCTTCTACAAATCTTCTCAGATCCACAAACTTTTGAAATATTCTTTCGGTCAACTAGACAAGATATTTTTTTAAAAAGTGGTCAAAAGAAATACAATCTTAACCTGATAAGAATGAATTTCTTTTTTTAGCTTAACTTTTATTAAACATGTAGAAAATCACAGTGGTACAAATAATAATTCATAGTTAATTTAGAACGTAAAATAAATAATTGATGAAATGAACGCACATACATAGCTGAAAAGAATCTGAGATTGCCGAACCAAGAACGAAAAAATAAATGTTTATATCTCGCGCCTATACTACCATATAGGCATTCAACGAATTAATACAGGCATTTAAGCATCTACTTATAAAAAAACCACAAAAGCACTGAAACCAAAAGAATAGCTGGTTTAAGATCTGGTATCTCATACAAAGTAATAAAGAAATATTAAAAAAGAAAACCACCACATTTTTAAAATTATACAGAATTACCTTAAAGTGGAAAAAAATTGAAAATTAAAATAAGTAAGAAATAGGAAATCATCCAAACATGCAAAAAAATTAGTTCAAAAATTTTGATGGAGCCGAAAATAAATATTGAATATTCTTTCGCTTTTAATTTCCACATTTATCAGAAATTTCGCTTTTTCTTAAACCAAATAGAACAAAAGGTACTTTAAGATACTAAAATTTTAAATAAAAACAACGGCAAAGTAAACTAAAATAAGATTTTACGGCATTTTCTTTTTAATAATAGAAAAAAGGAAAATAGATCAGAAGAAAGGAAATTTCATTCATTTTTGATTGTGTAAATCGAAACAAAATAGAAAGAATTTCATGGAATGCAAAGATGACAATTTCAAAAATGAAATGAAATATTATAATGGAATGAAATTTTAAAAATTCCTATTAAAAAAAGAAATAACATTCAATAACCATATAATTTTATATTTTCATAAAATTTTCATTAGCCTTTAATGAGCCTTAAAAAATAAATAAAGAATGATAAAAGAATGAAAATCTTACCCTAAAAACAAAAAGGGACGATGACCGAAAATGTATAGCCAAAATCATAAGCTCAAAAGCCTCAGCACCTGCTCCTCAAACAATAAACCTACCATCCAAAAAGCCAGGAGGTGATCTGATTTTATTTCCTTACGTCCGCAGATGATTCAATTACTTCATTATCTTGAGAGGGAATTAAGGAAAAACGCTTTTCATCCAATCAAAAACTTAACTCAAAAAATGCATTAAAGACCTCCTAAACTCACACCTTAAATTTTATCACTATAGAAAAACTTATGTTAAATAAACTATGGTAGAAGCAGAACGCATCCTAACCAAGCTAGATTCATGAGAGAGAGAGGCCAAATTTTCTAGCTAAGAAGTCCATCGCGCCAACTTAATACTATGTGTTTCATCGTCTATTATCGTTTTTGATTTAGTCTATGGAGCCGCGCTATGGCAATTCGGCTTTGTTGCACTGAAAATGACCAATAATATTAAAACACATTTCAACAAGTTCAATTTTCTTTAAATTTCAATTTTCAAATTATTCCTTTCACTATTAAATTTGGCATCTAAATTTTCGCAAGTGTGCATATGAGGTACTCATATACTTTCGAAATGCGAACCGGTGTGCGTAAAATTCCTCTCCTCAATAATTTTCATTTGTGCGACAGATCAATTATGGATAGTTCTTTTAGGCATTCAAGATGAAGCATAGATATGAATTTCGTCCAAGAAATTCAAAATTTAAATCGTTGGAAGAGAATTTTCAATTCGAATTCAAATAAAATCAGTTTTTGAGTCTAGAATGGAGAAATAAAGATTTGGTTAACTTGTACGTAGGAAATAATAGATGAAATCCTCAAACGACGAAAGCAAAAGGAGGTAGAATGATATGGTATTATGGTAGAAATGACGGCTGTCTTTTGGTTAGGTACGGCGTTCTCTACGGAAAAACATTTCCGATGCCGACTGTTTGCACTCTAAAACACGTATGACAAAAGCAATATATTTTGAGACAAAAATTAGTCAACAATGCCGTTTGGTGATTTTTAGAAAATGCAAAAATCAACCAAGCCATTTTAAGGATTTTCCCAAAATAATAAACCTGGAAAGCATTCGTACGTTAGGACCGTTCGCAGTGAGTGGGATTTTCTTGCCAAATACAAGACAATCATCAAGCGATACCTAGTGGGCATGTAATTTTTGCTTCCAAATATTCTCTTAATTTTCAACCGAAATTCAAATTTTTTATGAAAAACAGGACAGGATCAAAAATAATTGAAATTGGAGCAATGGGCCAGCGATAATATTAGCTATGAAACCATTTTTATCACCGAATATTAAAAGATTTGGAATAACGATGATGAAAATAAGTCAGCATCAGAATTTAGATCATGATTCACCAGAAGCTTTAAAAAGATTAGTAAAAACATAAAGGAAGGTAAACAGAAAGGAAAGTACCACCAGCATCAGTATTCAGCGTTTAAAAATTAAAAAATGCACAGATCAATCCAGATTAATGTGCTGATATGCACTTACAACAAACATTAGACTAGAAGCCAATACCGATAGCCGATAGCAGCAGCGATACATATCGATGTAAAAAATACTTTTCATCTTATATGCCAAATAAGATTTTTATTTTTCATCGATTCAAAAAACACTTCTTAAATATCGTTGATCCACTTTCATTGATTCACACCTAATGACCAAGCGAAAGACGAAGTTGCAGCTAGAGCTACTCCATTCCTTCTGGAGAAACCTTTTTTGAGTAGCCGCAAAACAAAGCTCTATCTGTAGTATGCAAAATTCTATAAAACTTCGTGAGAGTGCAGACTATTTGTGACTATCTTTAACCATACCTGCTATATTGTACTTACTCTGCTGCGGATAAAATTTATTACGTCCATCTTTATTATTTCGTTATGCAGCAATGGTATTACCCCAAAGCTTAACTTTTGCAATAGGTATGCCATTTTCTATGTCCAACAGAAAATATCTTACTTGCCAAATACTAGGACTAATCAACTGCACCAAAAGCGAGTAGGACGAAAAAAGAAATCTGAAATTATCTGAAAACAAGAATACCTTCAAGGCAGAACCATGGTAAAGGAATCCTCAGAGATACCAAATTTTATTTTTCGTTCGCTTAACTAAACTGATTTTCTTATCAAACTGCACAAGGAGTTCGTTCGGCCTCTTTTTAACTACAATACTACATTACTCCCTGAGATATCGCAAATCAAGTAAAATAATTGAAAATAGCAATTTTAATTATAAAAGAAAATTTCTACAATTTCAACCTGGATACTCCTTCAATTCGTCGAATTAAGCTAGATTTAATTTATATTGTTCAAAACATTACAATTTTAGGCTAGATCTGAATTCAACAAGAACTAATGTGCTAAAATTACTAAAACCTATACTAAACTAAAAACTCATGACTTCTTTATTCATGCTATTAATTACTGGAATAAACTGCCGAACGATATAGCCTGTGCGCCATCCTCGGCTATCTTTAAAAAAAGATTAGATAAGATTAGATAATCATTTATGATATTATTTAAAAAGTCCACAACATGCAGGAAATCTGCAAAATCTTGATTTTTACCACCCGATTATATATAATATAGTTATTTCGAATTGTACTACAATTCTGCAACTTCCTCTTTATTTCCTCTTTAAATTGTTAATTTTTGTCATATTTTCTTTTTTTCTGGTATTATTAATTTTTATTATTTGTTATTTTAATTGTTGTAATTAATACAAGCACATGGCGTTGTCGCCCTGTTTGGCTGGTTTTCAATAAATAAGAATAAGAGAAAGCATAGGCCGCCCAACGATATGTGGGCTTAAACAATGAAAAAAACAGTGACTCTAAATTCAGGTATAGCTTCAGAAACCTGCAGATATCACACCTTAGACGCCACTGCAGCCACCCAAAATGTAAACTGTTAGAAAAAGAACATAAAAAACTCCAAGTGATTCTCTGGCAAAATTACCTATAGCCACTGAAGCATCTAACCAGAAATGATGACCACTTTACATTACTCCTAGAAAAAAATCTTTCAATATAAAAGTACAGTGTCAAATTGGCAGAAACTCCGGTGCCTCAGGAAATATATCTGATTTAGGAAATGCATTCTTCGTTAAACGGTTCGCTATTTTCGCAAGATCACAACCTGCTTTGTAATACAATGTTTGTGGGGCATTGAATCTGAAGCAGTTGTTTAACATTCGACGAAGATCAGCGATAAACATTCTTTCCTAAAAATATTTCGCTTTATTGAGATAATATTATTTCTTAAATATTTCTTCAATGAAAATTTTCTCGAAAAAAAATCATGTTACAAATAATTTCATTTCTAATAATTGAAAAATTTATTGAAAAAATGCTATACCACAATATTTTATACCTTTAAGAAAAAAATAAAAAGATTAGATTGGAAATTTGAAATTCCGAGAAAATTCAATGGATAAAATGAAGTTTCCATTAAAAAAAACCCATAATCGAATATTTTAACCTTGCAAAACATAAGGAAACCAAATATTTGAATATTTCAGATCTTGAAATTAAAATGATTTTTATCATTTACATAAAATACCAACATTCTTACATGAACGTAATATTTCTGCTTATAACGATCGGTCATTGTTTTAAGATCCATAGGATATTTTATAAAGTCATAATATTCAGGAACTTCTTCAGAATCAACTGGCTTCAAAAATGGCCAGGCCGCTTGGTCTGCTCGTAATTTTTGTAATATAGTTTTAATCTTATGGTCCATGTCTTGATCTGGTTCACTATCCTCATCACTAAGATGTTCCATTCCCGGAATTGCAGCACAAGGCACCACCGATCCCCCTGAATTTTTTTGAATTTGCCTTGGAATTATTAAGGAAAGTTTTAAGCCAAAATCAACCGAGAAATTCTTTTTTTTTGTGCATAATAATCATTTTAAAAAATTACGATACTGTTCGAAAATATGCTCGATACCAGCATGCTTTTTACCACATTCTGAGAAACATTCTTTCACAGCACTTTCGAACAAATCGTTCAATTTCTTCGCATTAAGAGCGAAATTGGTGTAAATTACTCTGAAAAAATAAAAAAGGCTTTTTTATTGATCAAAAAGAAAAACTATCTAGAATCCTTCAATCATTATAATCTAATTGGAACCTTTAGAACCCAAAATTCGCATTTATAAACATTTTTAAGAAAATGAAAATGATCGTCGCATTAATATTTGTCTATCTAAAATTTGAATCACAATTCTACATAATGACGTTTCGCTTTCATGGCTTCCAAATTCCAAAACAATTATAAGGAAATTTTAAAAAAAATAATAAAGATAATACAATAAAAATAATAAAATAGTTTAATAAATAGACACGATAAATTAACCTCGGATGTAGCTGACAACCCATCAGAGTAGCACCTTCATAATCTTTAATGAAACCATGATACTTTTTCTTTTCAATAGCAATTTTTTCTGAAAAACCTTGTTTTTTGAAGTAACCAATCGCATATTCATCAGCATAGGTCAAGAAATGATATATATGGCATGTGCCGACGTGGTAGTCCTTTAGATGATTCATCATATGAGTACCATAACCTTTCACCTAAACTGCACCAAATAAAATCCATTAAACTGAACTGTAACTGAATTTGAAACATCAAAATCAACCTGTTCATTTGCAGTAATAGCACAAAAAACGATTTCAATGAAATCTTGAGTATAGAATTGACGAAAGCAAATTCCACCAATGACACCGCGACCTAAATGCTTATATTATTAAAAATTAAAGAAAACAGCAATAAAATAATGGTGAATTAACCGCAGAATAATCATATATTCATAATTTTTCTACGATGTTTGAAAAAAACGACTGGGACTGGTGAATAATACAAACAATTTTCATTAAAAAAATAAGAATGAGGACGAAAAAATCCGAATGCAAGAATTCAAACTCAAAAAGTCAAATAATTTCGGTGCAATTTTCCAATTTTTATTGCATTTTTTATATATTTCACTATAAATCAATTACCTTGTTTGACAAGAACAAGACTTTTATGACGATAATCGAAAACTAGGCGAGTGATATATTCCTTAGGCATTCGAGGCAACTGTGTACTAAATAAACCTTGTAACTGCAATAACCACGCAATTTTTTCTGGATTCTGGTTAGCTTCCATGTTGTTTGAAATGACGTGAAATGAAATGATCCCATCTTTTTCCTAAAACATCCATAAAAATAATACAAAAAAAAATATGCTAAAAATATGAATCAAAAAATGAATATTAATGAATACAAAATTTTCACATTAATATTACACTACAAGATAAACAAATTATATAAAAAGATAAAAAATTCGGCTATCAAGCAAATCAAAATTACGAGAAATGAATTACATTCAAATGAAAATTTCAATCAAAAATATATTGAAATTAAAATCAGAAAAATATAAATCGAAAAAAATATTGCGTTAAAAATGTACTTCTTGCCTTGAAGCCTCACTCCTTGCAACATCTAACTCAAATGAATCCATTTTATGAGTGAAAGGTTTTGGTTTTTTAGCCAGTATTTCGGAGCGAACAATAATTCGATTCATCAAATCCTCACTAATATCACCTTCAACTTCTTCATCCATCATAATGAGTTTGACAGAATCTGTTATTAACAAAAACTGTTAATAACTACAAATATATAAATATTTCATGCCTTTATTAAAGTCATCAAACGATCGAATTAGATAAATCAATTAGACAATTAGGTAACTCATAATCAATATGAAAGTTAAACATCTTGCTGAATGCTAAATATTAATTAACCAAAAAGATGATATATATTATGAAAAAGATATAAAACAATTGTTGATAAAGAAAAAGAATATACGATTATACCTTTTATGACTTTAAGTTAAAATTAATTGAAATATATTGAATTTTTCATTCATTTACCTGGGAATATTAATCATAATGTACCTTTGTTGCAACGATCATCACCCTCTGAACATTCTGACGTTGTTTCAGAATGGTGACCAGATAATGTATTCCATAAACAACGCCCTCGCTTAGGTGACGGAATGCGAATCCCTTCTGGCAAAGCATATGAAACGGATGGATCACAAATCGAGTCGTTAGTGGCTAACATGGTGTTCAAATCTGTAGCAAAATTTATAGCATTCTGAAATATCTGAAAACAGAAGAAAATCACTAGTGAATTAATGAAGTGTCAAAGATATTTAAATTTAAAATTCATTCATCGATTCTGACAGCTTTTTGTTCTCTAAAATTGTTGTTAAACTAATATTACTTATAAACAGATAACCCTCCAACAGTCTTCAGTTATAATAGAATTTATTATATTTAATTCATCAACGAGCTTTTTTCCAGTTTTATTAAAGCTTGATGCTGAAAAATTGATGAAAAATTAAGAAAACCCACAAGAACTTTTAATCATTACGGCTCATTCATCAATCAGCTTTTTTCCAGTGAATTTAAAAATCTGTTGCTAAAATAATTTGCTTATACCTGTTCATCAATGAAGGAACTTCTTTGCTGAAGATCAGCAATATAATATCGCAGTAGTAAAATCAAAAATTTTCGACCGAAACTCTTTACTACAGGATATCGTTGCAAAGATCGATATTCTCGAGGAAGCGAACAAAACTGCATCCACCGAGCATAAATTATGCGATAATTTAAGAGATCTTTCATAGACACTATAAAAATCACAAAATTTAAAAAATCAATGAACCACATCAGTAATAATTTTTATCCTCTTAAAATTTTTCGTACTTATTTTTTATTACATAACGATTGAACAAAAAAAAACTACATTCAGATGATTTCGGTACAGGTAAATTCCATTCATTGATGGAACGAAGAAAAGTTGATGCTGTATCGATTTCGTTTTCAATTTCTCTTAAACGATTCCTTTTATATTCAAAAAAGAAAATGAAAAAAATTTTTCCAACATTTTTGCTGTGAAAGACAAAAAATTACTTGTATAAAAAATTAGAAATGCATGATTTATTGATTATTAAATAAAGATTATTTATTCATTTCATCTAAACCTTGTACAAGCCACAAAAAAAAGAATGCCAAATGCTAACCTTCTCCTACCTTCATTTTTGACGACAAGAAAATTACATACAATTTTAATTATTGAAAGAGGTTCGAAAGGCGGGCTACCCAAATGGCTTAATGCAATTTGCTTAGGAGTAGAACCCAGTTTTCGCATAAGAAATTTGAATGAATGAAATATAGCCTGAAATAACCGTATTTGTTAATAGTAATACAGCATAATGCATTTATTAAATAAAATAAATAAAAAATAGCTTAAAGTAAATGAACTGCGATATATTGTATTATGCACATATTTAACGAGATAAGAAACTATTAGAATCCAAAATATTTATCAAAAAAAGAGATTTAAAAAAATAAAAAAATTAGTGGAGCAATGCAATGGCTTTAGTTTTCTTCTCGGAAAAGGTGGGCCTAAAAATGAGAAAAATTGGCTTAAAAATCGGTAAACCCACATGTAATACTTCATAATTTTCACTGCCTAGAATGCGCTGGTGCATATCCCAAGTATCACAAGCCATTTGAATTAAAACCCTCACTTCTCGATCTTTCTTCTTCTTTACCAAATCCAAATGTTCTTCTGCAAAATCACTGTCGAAGTCTCGAACAAAATTAAATGCAATCATTTCAATGAAATGATAAAATGATTACTGGAAATAAAATTAAATTGAAATCATGGAAAAATAAACATATTCGGGAAAAAAAAGAAAATAAAAAGGAACCCTAAAAAAAAATAAATTCTTGGCTTATTCTCCATTTAATTTTACAGGCTATTTGTTCTCTGTTCCTATTTTTTACCAGTCGTCTTCATCTTAATTTTGAAAAATTAATTTGTGGATTCTTATTTGTTCAATTTTGTATATGCAATTTTTGTATATGCAAAACGAGAAAAATTGGCTTAAAAATCGGCAAACCCACCCGTAACATTTCATCTTAACAGACACTCTAACAGTAGAATAAAATAATCAAACGATAAAAATCATTTATAAATAAAAAATAAAGAATTATTTTATTAGAATAGTAATAAAGAGACAAAAACAACAACCTAAAGAGTGCTGACAAGTTTTACAAGTGGATTTCATGGAAATTTCGTTAAGCGCTTTATTGTCAGAACAATATAATAAATTCATATGCTCGGAACGCTTCCATCCGACGCAACGACAATGCGCACATTTCGTGAAAAGTGCTAATTTTTTCCAGTCTCTTAAATCGAATAAATCATTTTCTCTGGCCGATATTTTCATCTGCAAACCTTTTAATGCAACTAAAAGAACGTAAAAATTTACGCTAGAAATAATAAAACCAATGAAACTGATGGAGTATGTAAACTCAAATAAGTTAAACAATAATAGCAGAAAGAGAGAAATAATAAACTAATGAACAAAACTTTGAAACCATCGTTTAGCAATGAGCAATAAAAAAATTCGGTAGCTATTGTGTTATTTGGTCGATAACGACGCAAACTTGTTTGAAAGGAAAAGAAAAAGGAGGAAATAAAAACCATAGAATTGAAATCTGCAATAAAGAAGATCCGCAATAAAGTGAAGAAAGAGTGCGGCGATGGGACTTCAATAAGGGAGCGAAGAGGAGAAAACGAGGAGAAGAATTCTCGCGAGCGCTTCCTCGGTCTACGAAACCGAAAAGCGGAAGTCTATGAAATTAATATAAAGTGGGAATTTGGATAAATAGCACGTGGGATATAAATGAATTCCATTAAATAACACGCAAGTCCGAACCATAGGGATTCAAAAAATTCACCGCACCACAAACGACGATTGCGCGCGTGCGGGCGAACGAATCTGCTATTGCGGCCTACATGATGCATTTGATGAATTGCAAATACGTTTACGGCATTTACACGGTATTTCCGTGTGCCGAACCTATGCGCCAAACGGATGCGCCAAATGCCAACGCTCAAGAAATGTTAGTTCGTTGCCGATGAGTACAATAACTAAGACTACTAATTTGCAGATTTTCCATGAAGTTGCATTTGCATTTGGATCAAACGAAAAGGTAGTTTTAACACACTGTGATTTGGTCATAAATTTTGATAATTTGTTATTTCGCTACAATTATTTATTTATTGCATTGGTTATTTCAAGCACTTATTGTCCGAATAGGCGCTGAAGAAATAGCGTGGGGAAGGCGGAGAATGCAGTGATGAAAGAAATTTATGGATTTCCGCTCGGTTATTCTCTGCCCTCTTTTATTTCCTCGCTTCTTCTTCTGGCAATAGTCTCCATTTCTGGTTTGGCTGGCTGCGTTGGCTGTGCGACTCTCGCTTTTCCACACTCTAGAGACATTCTTGCTTGGCTTGAACCGAAACGAATTCCACTTGTTCCACAATTTCCGATTCCTTTCTCCCCATCTTCTTTTCTTCTGCACAACATTACACAAATACCATTTCAAAAATCACTGAAAATTGTAGATTATGTTTTTATTTTAAATAATAATAAAATCGATCGGATAAAGTCGCACATGATTGTGTCCATCTTCGCTCAAATACCACCTGTATTAATAATGTTATCACAGAGCGACGCTTTCGCTGGGCGCGTTCTCCGTCGTCCACCACAGGAGTTGACGCATATTTCGCTACTTGCCGAACCCTGTGATGGTTGGCGCGAAAAGCTTGGAGATCCAATTATGACCTGGAGTGATACGGTGATAAAAGATTTTGAACGTATAGGAAGATCAGCAATATATGGACTTAGACGATGGAAAAAGGAATGGCTTCTATCATTACTAGCGATAGCGTCGGATCGAGCAGCTTGAAGACGTCTTACCTTTTGTTTTAAATAATAATGCAGTAATTTTATTTAAGGGTCGATTGGAATTTGATAAGATGCAAAGGAATATTTCATGTTTTTTATCAGCAATTCGTTATTTTAGTAGTGAATCACAAATCAGAAGAAATATATTTGTTGGCAAAAATAATCAAAAATGGAGTATTTTTGTGGCAGTTGCAATAATACGTCCACCAATTATCGCACCACAAATGAGCGATTCTGAAAAGAATTATTCATTTTTTACGAAAAATCTGGAAATTGAAACTTCACTGTTATGTGACTTTGAATTAAAAGAAATCGATGATAAGAAGTTATATTTTTTTGAACTTTTAAATTTTTAATATTTTTTAAAAATTTCGTTAAAATGTTACGTAATATTACGAAAAATTTTGCGCCTTTCCTTTTCAGAATTTAAAAATTTTTCTTCCGCAGGATTTTAAAATTTAAAATTTAGTAAGATTACTATTATTACAGACAAAAATTTTCGAATCATAATTTTATAATGATGAATCGACATTTATCCGATTTTTTTTATTTTAGATTTTTGAGATTCTTTTCATTACGAATTTCTTTTTTCTTTTAGGTTCTTGGAAAAGAAGAAAGAACAGAGTGAACTTGAAAAACTTGCTGATAAACTGGGTGAACAACGAATTACTACCGATATGCTACAAGAAAGGTGGAAGAAAAGGGAAGAATATTTAAGAAAAACTTTTCGTCTTGGAGATTTGAGTGAGGTATTATTGAATTAAACTAAATGAAGCATATAATATCAGATCTTTTAAATAATGAACAAAAATATGTTTGATTTTTATTCGTTTTTGTTAATATGATCTTTATAGAATACTATCAAATGGTATTCTTGCTAGATATGTCCTTAAGCCGCTTGTTTCGAGCCATTTGTATGGGTAAATGATAGAATGGTTTTTTTTAGATTGAACAAAATGCTGAAACTTCTTTGTTTCGCAAACTTGATCAGCAGTTGGTGCTCATTGTTCGACAAAGGTTTGGAAAACCTGGCTATTCGTCACCGTGGATAATTCCTCAGACAAAGTTTCATAATGGAGAAAGCTTAAGACAGGTAGTTTCTTAAACTCGTTGTGGAGAAGTAGGGTTCAATGAAATTTTTTAAATAAATCTATCAATTTTTGTTTTTTGCATAGCATACTAAATTGTCTTTAAATATTTATTTTTATGACATCTTTTATTAATATTATATTAATAATAATGATATCTTGGGGATAGGATGGCTCAGTTGGGAATGCTGATGCTGTGGTTCTATTCCTTGCAGGAGAAAAGTTGTCCAAAAATCCGGGTGATGCTGGCAACTCACTTGTACTTCTATCGCCAAGGAACTCCCCGGCATATTTGTCCAGTGCGACAAGCCAGTGAAGCCAGTGAAGTTTAACCAGTAATGGTGGGATTCTTAAAAAAAAAAAATCCTTTACTTCTGCTTCCATATTCATCATTTTGCATGATAAATATATCGTTTTTTATAATAAATCTGGAACCAAAAAATTTTTAGACCGCTGAACGTTGCATTAATGAAACGCTAGAAGGTGATTTCGCAGGATCGATCTTCTCTAATGCGCCTTTTTCTGTTCATAGTCACAGGTATCCAAAAGGCTTGAAAAATAATGATGATAGTGATACCAGTGGTGCAAAGGTAACCGTTTATTTTCTGAATTTCATTATTACATTTATTTCACTTGAACATTTGATTATTTTCGAAATTTTTTTAGATTTTCTTTTATAATGCGCAGATTGCCCCACAAAATAATTTCCATGTAAATAGTAATGAAATTGTCGAATACAAATGGGTGAATATGGACGAATTTCAAAAATATGTTATAACAAATAGATATAAAAATGCTTTATCAACACTATTTATAAATTGGTAGTAATGTTATCAATATTTTTAAGATTTTTATGATTTTATTGTTCATTCTTTTATTCGATACTAGATCCCTTAAATTTTATATCTTTTTATTTCAGTGAAAAATGTAAAATGCTGCTGATTATGTATTATTATGCTATGAGATTTTATGATTGATTGAATTTATTCGTATAGTTTTATAACTTCCACTGCTTTATTCATTAGTAATTCATAAATTATATTGTTGAATTGAAGTGTATTGCGATTGATTACAGTGATGTCTAAACTATTTTGGCACAAAAATAATGTTAATCTTCTTCTTCTAACAATTTTCACCATTACTGGTTACGCTGGCTCCAACGGCTGCAAAAATATGACGCTTCCAAGCGGCATGGTCTGATGCCGTCGTTGATAGTAACAGCCATTCTTTTTTCCATCGTCCAAGTCCATATATTGCTGGTCCACCTGTACGTTTTATGTTTTCCAACCGTATCAGTCATGGTCTGACCAATAGTTGCCTCCCCTCGCTTTTGACGCCATCCATCACATGGTTTAACAATTAATTAAATATGCATCAACCCCTGTGGGTGGACCACGGAGAACGAGCCCTAATCAGCAAAGGCGATGCTCTGTGAAAACATTATTAATGCAAGTGGTATTTGAACGAAGGTGGATGCGATCATCTGATATTTTATAGGCTCGATAGGCTCATAAAATGTTAGACAATGTTACATTAGACAAGAGTGGTCAAAGGCAGATAACTTCTAATATCTTCCACTCCCATTGGCCATGTCTCAGATCCATATAAGATCGAACGAATCACGGCTATATAGATGTAGACTTTCGTTTTTATGGTTATTTCAAAATCGCTTCATAAAGGTTTAATCAACCTGAACTGGCCATTAAAGTGGTCCCAAGGTATTTAAAATCGGGCACTTTATTTCAACCGTCATGAATTTATAAAAAGAGGCATTTATCAGCTTCTTACAAATAAGACGAAAAGACCTTCATTTACATTAACCCTAAGTCCGATTCTCGCTGTGGTCGCTGACATGTTATTTAGCATTATTTGTATTTCATCATAACTATCAGTAAAAAGGGCTACATCATCACCGTATTCAAGATCAGTATTCAAGATATGATGCTATGGACTGATTTGAACATCTCTTGAGTGCCGACAGCGGTGTCCATTATCGAGTCTATCGCATAGTTAAATACTGTAGGGGAAAGTACACAACCTTAACGGACCTCAGTTCTTATTTCGAAGGAGTATGTCAGTTTCCCATATACACAGACCCGCGCCGAAGTGTGCTCATGACCTTTATAAGTTAATTTTTTTCTGGAACACCGTCGTTTCTTTTTCCCATACTAGACAGTATATTTGTTGAAGGTGCGTTATGAAGGAGATGGACAACATTTGAAGAGTTTAGCCCGAAGACCATCTTCTCCCGGAGTCTTATTGGCTTTAAACTTATGGATTATTTCTTCTTCTGTTGGAGGCTCGCAATTGCAAGCAAGCGTATCAGGGGCAATAAATGGCGCTTCATGGTTAAGTTTGGCTTTAAAATTCTTTCTATTGCATGAGGCGGTCCTTAACCCTTTTTATCGGCACGCTGTCATTGCTGTCCCTTACCATTTCACTAATCTTTTCCGGAGTCATAATTGCTTTATGAAGGCGGAATGCTGGAGAATGCTGTTTTCTGCGAGTTAATTTTAGCTTCCTGTTATCGCCTAATCGAGCTGCCGTCTCCATTCTTAAGGCCATGCCACTCCAACAGTAATTTCTGCCGTGCTGCTTTCGTTGTCTTCGAAGCATCCGGTAGTCAGGATCACCTGACATTCATGCTTTGGCAGCTTTTTCAAACAGTTGGACAGTTGCTTTCGATATCCAACTAGCACACCTCCTACTAGTATTCCCTAGCGTGGAAGTGGCTGATTTTCGGAGATTCTTATACTTTGGACCAGTATTCATTTGCCGTTCCAGAAAAATCATTGATATTTGTATCACTGAGATGCTTCAATAATTCATTTTGAAAAGCGCTCACTATCCCTGAATTTTTTAGATAATTTGATTTAGTTGAAGGATCTTGAGGATCTTTTTTCTACGAGTCAATTTATGTGGATCTTGACTCGAACTACAATATGGTCGAATCCATGAAGATTGCGCGTTTCAATGCCGCGATAGGAACGACTATCTAGTACGGAATTCGTCCAATGGCGACTGTCTAAGATATAATCAATCTAGGTGAAGAGTTGGTTATCCGGGGAGTTCCACGTGTTTAGATGTTTTCTTCGATATCGGGAGCAAGTGTTAGTAAAGTTCATGCTCTTTGGCAAATGAAGAAGGCGTTTCTCATTGGCGCACCGATCTCCAATGCCATATTTACCAATTGTCGAGGTCATCGCAGCGGCATTGTGATCTACGCCTTCCAGTCTCCCTCAGTTACAACCATATCATGTTTCGGCAGCAGTTGAAGTTCCACATAGAACATTCTAATATCACATCTGTCAACAGATGAAGGGAATAGACACTGATGACCGAGATATTAGAATGTTAATATTAGAAATAACAATAAAACAATTTGAATATCTCAATTAAATATGCTAAATCACAACTTATGAGTACATTTATTTTTCTTATATTATTAAATCAAGAAGCTAAAATTGCAAATACCAAAGTACAATTAAGTCATTCTCAAGAAAAGGGAAACCAGGCAACATTTGGTAAAATATAATAGAGCTGAGAAATTACAGTAGAAACAATCACAGTAACAGACTCGCTCTATTTATATTATTTCGTGGCAAGCGACCAAGCTCAAAGTGGATAATCGAATAGACGAATGATAGGATACGAGTGTAAAAAACATTGCCCCATAAATAGAGCGAGCCTGCTTTAATGCTCTGCTCGTAATCTCCATTTGCCTGTTTTTCTCATCCATAAACTGGTGACTTCTAGCACTTCCACGTTCCCTTAAACGCTTTCTCGTTCCAATTTTTGGGGTAATCATTGCGTTTATGCAGAAGAAAACCCCTATCTTAGTCGCCGATAGAATGAATCCAACCAGCATTGCCTCGAGTTTTTATAAGACTGGTACTTTCATCTCAGTGCGCTCAGTGCCAAAAAAATGAACAAGCGACGAAGCTAAAAAACATCGGATGAATTGCAAACAAAGACTGGGCACTGGTAAATGCCGCGGCGAGCGAAATCGTCGCAGTCCTTTTGCGCTCGCAGTTACCTGTTGTTCAGCTACTGCCCATCACATAAGCAAAAATTTGCAGACGAAGGTCATAATTCCCATTTTTGCAATTTTAGAAGATCCAATAAGTTCTTTTATGCGCAAAATTTTTCACTTTTAGCATATAAAATCGCCGACTTTTACCGAAAAGCATCGTCGTTTCACCAAAATAAAAATTTCATTGTCTCTGACAATCCTCAAGTATTAGAATAATTTTGTGTTTTAGTGCTGCAATAATAAAATATTTGTCTTTAAACGAAAGTTTGCTTCGCATATTTTTTTTGTGGAAATTTTTCAGTTTCAGGCTTTTTATTTTACGAGGAAAGTAATGGAAATGAGGGAGATTCCAGGTTCGAAAGTTAGAGCTGGAAGGGTTTTTAAAGAGCGCACGAGAGCGACGCAACTTTCGGTTAGTATTCTCACGTAAAGTTTTGAAATGTCGAAATATTGATTTTTATCAGATATTGAATTTAAACAAAAAATTCAAAAATTTACTCGTTTAATTATAAGTAATTTTTTGTCTGCTTTTGTAATAAATTTGTATTTATTTATTTTTAAGTCTTTTTAAATGTACTGTGGAATCAGATATTTTACAGCGCAGAGATGGGTGTTTCTTTCTTCTTGTTTTTGTTTATTATACGCTACTGCAATTGGGGGTCATTCGTATTCGTATATCACTGCTGTGCGATACTTCTGAGATATATTGTCATTTATAATCTTATTCGGGCGGATTGAGGGTTTTCATTTCTTGACTCGGCTTTGTATCATGTTACGTATCGTGTGTCGCAATAAACACTTTGTTAGCGACTCGTCTAACACGTCACCCTCGCGTCCCCGACGAAACAATTATTATTATTATCGAATTTTTATTAATTTTTAATTATCAATTAGCAATTAACAATATTTGTTATTGATTATTGTTTTTCTAATGAATCACAAAATGTTTTCAGTTATTTATCATCGTTAAGACTCATATTCGTTATTGAAACTGATCTTTTATAATCTCAGTAATGAACTGGAAATATTTTTCATTTTTCATTCGTTAATTTTAAGTGAATTTCTTAATGATTACAAATAAAATTGCAGAGTGCAGCAAACGGTAATGCTTCAACGAAAAGTATCACAATAGTATGTTCTTAAAGTATTTAATCAAGGATTTAAATGTTTAGCGTTTTAGTTTTTATGTAGGTTCAGCTTTGTAAATGTAATTAACCGCGATTGTCAAATTCTTTTACAAAGATTTAGTAGCAAAATTATTTTTATATATTTATATTAAATTATATTTCATTTAGAATTTATTATAATTTGTTAAAAATTATTTAACAAAAATAGTAGAAAAATTTTTTTCTTCAAGCAATCTTACATTTTTTTATATTCTGAAATTTCTTAAATTTATATTTTATGCTTAATATTTTTTTATTTAGTATTTTATTTAATATTTGAAATCTTTAATATTTAATATTTTGAAGTGTTTCAGCAATTTTTCTAGTAAAATTTCTATTCTCTAATATCATTTTGGAGTATTTTAGGAAGAAATTACCAAAGAGGAAGAAAATCAAAATAGTCGACGAAAAAAACTTGCGGTCAGTCGTAATTTAAAAACACGGCTATTGAATTCCTATGATAAAAAACGACAATTTATACCAATACCAAAAAAATTTGACTTACGGCCAATCGTATTGGAACAGATTGATCAGTATTTCATTTGTAAAATTTGCAAAGAAATAATGCGAGATGCAACAGTAATCCGAGTAAGTTATTTCATGGTTTGGATTTTTTTATTAATCGTTTTGTTCCATTTTTTTTTTAAATCTCATTGTTTCTTCAAAAATGTTAACTTTATGTGGAATCGTTTTTCTGTTCATTCTCATCGTTGCACTATTTTTATAGGAATGTATGCATCGATTTTGTGCAAAGTGCATAAATGATCGAATAAAAAGTGGATTAAATAAATGTCCTTCATGTGATCTTCTTTTTCCCAAAAAATTTTCCCTAAAAAGCGATCCTTCTTTCGATACTATCATTCGTCAGGTTTCTTTATATTATAATATTATGAATTAGGAAGTGAAGGTAAAACTGTGAAAGTGAAGAATTTAGTGGGTAGTTTTTAGTCTCTCACTTTTGATTTTCAATTATGTTCGATTTCTTGTCAGTTGAAAGGAATAGATGATCGAGTGGTGTTAGGGATCTTTTTGCATTGGATATTGCATGCAACATATGCGACTGATCAGTAGGAGATCAAGTCCTGATATTAGTGGTTTAAGTAGTGTTTGAATACCTATTTTATTGTTGAAATATTTGAATTATAATGAATACTCCAGTTTAGTACGTCACTGCATGTAACAAGAAACCAATGATGAAACCACTCGCAGAGTTAGGTGAATTTTTTCATTTCATTTCTATTATATTATCTTTTTACATATTTTCAGTTAAATAATTTAAATAATAAAGGGAATTCTACTTTGCTTAGATGATATTTTTCTCAATCTTTCCTCTTTTTTTTCAGTAAATCACAAAAAGATCCATGCAGATAATAAAATACCATGCTCTTCGAATTCTTCCAAAGTGAGGCTTTTTTAATTAATAAAATTCTTAATTTCAAAGTTAAATAAAAACTTATGCTTGCTATTTTTATTATTTCTTTATCCTTTCGTTTTGCACCAAAAATTGAGATTATGTTTAACGTTTCTTTAGGTTGAAATGAATGTAGATGCTCGTATGTTGTCCAATCTTGCATCTCGAGCTCAGTCCGAAATATCTGAACCACCTCTAATGATTGATGAAAACTGTATGCTTTACGTTTTTTAAAACAATTTATCTCTCTTTTTTCTTAGATATTTTTTATTTAGGTCTTTTTTATATGTCAATGTTTTGCGACAAAATTTTACGTTTATTCGCGTTGCAAGAATTTTGTTTTTGATTTATTTTTGATGCTTCCATCTCTAAAAAAAGTTTATTTTGTTTGAATTTTAAGTAAATAGTAGTTAGTTCGATTTACCAATCTATTCAGAATCTGAATCTGTTCGATTTCATTTCTAGATGATTCTTCACATGATCCCATTTCTCAGATAGAATCGACTGAAGTTATTTCTAAAGAAACTAGCAGTTCGAATAGACAGGTTTAATATAATATTTATTGTTGATTATTTTTAATTTTTCCAGTTAATATGGTTTGATCAAACTAATATTATTAAAATAATTTGCTTTGGATTTTTTTTTCGGATCTGGTTTAGATCTTTCAGACAATGTAAGTTAATTTGAACATTCAGGGTATGTCTTCAACACAAGAGTCTGGTGATTTATCAAAAACGAATAATCAAAGTATATTTTATTTTTCATTGTTTAAGCCTTACATGGTTTTCCTTTCCGTTTAATAAAATTAAATCTTTTAAATCTTAATTTCTGTTTCGAAGAATATCGAAGAAAAAATATTCTTGTATAATTTTTGAGCTTAATTTTCATTTTCAGTTTCCCAAATAGAGCATCCAGTTCCATTAAATTTGCTTAAAAATAGTATTAATGCTTCTGCTGATTTTCTATTGCACGATAAGCAAAGGCTGTTAAGCGGTATAGAAACGGAGCTCATTTTGTATCCTGATGCGAGTATCTCATCAGACAGCATTCTTAGACATATTGCTAAAATTCGTTTTATAGAAGTGCCTTCAGCTATTACTGGTAATTTATATTTTATTATCGAAAACGGTGTCATGTAATCTTGTGGCTGATGGATAAATCATGTAATAAATCTAAGTTGTTGATGAATTGGGAATTGCGATAGATTTTAAAGTTCAGTCTAGGATGGAGCAATAAATAGAAATAACTTAAAACTCCCACAGAAGGCATATTTTGTGATTCAAAAAATCGTATTGCCGAGAACTGATAAATTTTAAGCTCGCAGTATATTGTGAGTTTATGTAGTATATTGGTAATAAGCTTTACAGTTTGCAAAAGCTTCTTCTCCCGAGAAAAATATCCTATCAAACCATTTTACAGTCTGTCGATTTTGATTCATACATACTTGTTTATGTTATTTCAGTTGGTCATCTTAGAGAATTTTTATATTCAAGATTGGCGTTAGAATCCGGTGACAAGGAAATCAGCGAGAAAGTAATTAATTGATAAATAAATTTTACGTTCATTAGGAGATTCACTTAGTAATCATCACCCCTTACAGTTTTTTATCTATATTGTTTTATAGTATCAGATCGTATTTTATGCACTTCATTCGGATTTCCCAATTGAAAAAGTTATTGTTGTTAGTCAGAAAAGTGGAGGTCAATTCGTTGCAATAAATGTTCGCGAGCCAAATACAGATCCTAGTGTGAGCAATATATTGACGATTCCATCCATACCCACTGGTCAGTTGGAATTTTTTAATTTGCATTTATTTTATTTTATTCTTATTTAGGGTGTTTTTTGAAGGAGGTACTAACTTATAAAAATAAAGACAAAATTTTTATCGATTTTAGTCGCTTAAAAAATCTGAGAAAGTTAATTATAAATGATGTAAAAATCGAGAATCGGTCTCAATGTAAATAAAATCTTTTCGTCTTATGTGCAAGAAATTGCTAAAATGCCTATTTTTATAAATTTATTGTGAGTTGAGAAAGTGCCTGATTTTAAACACCTTGGATCCACTCTAATCCAGTTGATAAGTAAAAGACCAAACTTCAACCCCGATAATGGTAGCTAGAAATGCTTTCTTCTGGTTGTCTTTATGGAACCGTCGCGAAATTACCATAAAAACGTTAGTCTACGTAATATAGATGCAGTTCGCCCTCTCTTGCTATATAGCTGGAAGATATAGCCGGTGAGAGAGGAGGATATTAAGAAGATATCGGCCTTTGACCATTCATATCTAATATGCATTCATGCCTGCAATGTGGATAAAATCTCATAATGATTGTTGCATCCTTCGTTACCACTTGCAGTACCATCACAGAGCGTCGCCTTCGCTGGTTAGGGCACGTTCTTCATTGTCCACCACAGGAGTTGACGCATATTTGGGTACTTTTTTAATTCTGTGATGATTGGTTTCAAAATCGAGGAAGGCCAGTCAAGACCTGGACTGAGACGGTCAGGAAAGATTTTGAACGTGGATAGACCAGCAACATACGGACTTAGACCAGCAACATACGGTGGAAAAAGGATTGGCTTCTATTACTATCAGCAATGGTAACAGATCGCGCAGCTTGGAAATTACTTTTATGGCCAGCCAGCCTAACCAGTAATGGTTAAAGCTATTAGAAGCAGAAGATATGGTAGAAAATTTGCTGCAAATTCCTTTCATATCATACATTTTTCAGCCCTCGATGAATCTTTTACCGTAGAGAAGTTGAAAGAAGATTTCTGGCCATCAAAAAAGCGACCTTTACGCCTGATTTTCAATATCGAATTAATTTCCGTGAATTGTAATTAATTATTTTTAATTTTTCGCTTCGACCCTTTCTATACTTTATCTTCCTTTTTTTTACTCTTCAATATTTGACTTTAATCTTTCTGATTTTCACTAATTTATCGTCTGTGCTTTGTTTTCTTTTTTTCTGTTGATCAGAAATGAAGCGAATCTTTAAATTTTTACTATATTTACAATCAATCAGAGGTTATAAACAGTTCTTTTTTGCGTATTTCATTTTTTTCATTATTTATTTCGTTTTTTTAAAGCAATATTTGAAAAATGGTGATAAAATGTTTTGCTTTTCTCTTAGCAATTTTTTTCGACATTTTTTGCTTTTTTCTTCTCAAATTCCTCAAAAATTAGGCTCTAATCGATTTTAAAAAAATTTTAAGTTTTGGTCCTAATTAACCCTTTAATAAATTTTCATTTTATGTCCATTATAAAAGGGCAATTATAGGTTGTTTGCTGCGTTAAGTCTTTGATTAAACATTGATTAAGGTTATTTCGGAATTTTTGAGCATAATTAAATATTTTTTTACAGTTGCTTAAATTATTTATCCTTTGAGTGGCTGATTGCTAGATAAATAAGAATTACCCGCTAGCGTTTCGAAATCATTGGTTTTTTGTTGCGTTTAATAAATATAAACCACTTAAATTTAATTTAGGAATACTTTCAAATCTATTTGCGAATAAAATTATTGATATTAATTCTGAACCATAATTATATCATGAAACTTCTAGCAACTCTCATCATTACTAGTAAGGCTCTCTACAATGGCTACAAAGATAAGACGCTTCCAGACTTTATTTTTATATATCATTACAAAAGATTATTCATTACAAAAGATGAAGATCTACAGCGGTTCGCTTGAGAAAAGAATTCAACGTTTGTACGAAGATGATGGAACGTTGAGAAGAGCAATTAAATTTGAAAGACTCGTTTAGTTCGAAGAAAGTGTGTGTGAATTTATTTTCAATAAGGTGGATCCTTTCGAATCTCGTTTTGGTCCTATCTCTTTCATTCATTGAGCATTTGTCAGTGTTTCTAGTCCTATCTTTTAATTTTTCAACATTTTCAGAATTCGCAATTATTTGCCGAGAACCATCTTAAGGCATTCTGATTCACTTATTTCTAATTTTGCTTGAATCATTGAGTACTGGAATGAAATCCTTTTGTCAAAGGGTTCTTCGGGATAGATATTTAGATGTCCTCTATTTCTCTTTTAATAAGGCTTGTCTCTGGGAAAACAATCCATGGTATTCCAATTTATCATAGTAACTTGGCTATGTTGCTCTCTTTATCACACATCATATAGGAAGTATGAAATCTCGATTTTTACTATCCGATTATGTATAATACAGTTACTTCAAATTGTACTATGTTATATTATTGTGTAATTTCCTATTTAAATTGCTAATCTTTGTCATATTTTCTTCTTTTTTGATCATTTACTCTTATTATTATATCCGTTGTTATTAACACAAGCACATGGCGTTTGTCGCGTTGCTTGACTATTTTACAATAAACAATGGTAACAGTCTGAAATATTCAAACAGAATATTTCCTCATAAGTTAATAAGTTACTAAGAAATTAATTGCATCTAGTTTTGGGAATTAAAGGTAATAATTTGGACTAATTTTTTTCTATTCTTCCAAAATCAAAAGAAACAATTGTGACTTTTCTTCATATCAGCATCATCGGATGTTGAATTTCATATTGTTTAGAGAGGATATTTTGATATTATTTTTTGCAACTGCTCATGTTCACTTCAGTTAATTTTGAAAATTCTTAGTTGATATCATTTATTATCAAAAGACAAATTTCTGTTACCAGTTATCGTCAACGGAACATTGATATCTTGTTCAATAACATATCAAGCGATTCTGTTGAATATTATTTGTATGGTCCATAAAATTCTTGACAAAAGTCAGTAAAGTTTGGACATCACTAAGGAAACAAAAGTCAGTAAAGTAAGGACTTATTTTCAACCAGTTATGCACAATTATTATATCGCCTAGACAGAATTTCGATGAATAGTCCTAGTAAACCTGCCAGAAATTCCTTATTGCAAGGAAATAGTCGACTATTTTCCTTGACTATAATTGTTGCTCATATCACCCCTCGAGCATCAAGGTCCTGTCAGCAATGGACAGTGCTGAAAGTCCACATGTACTTGTGGAAAATTTTTATCATACCAAGAATTGGTGGAGCGAGTATATCAAAAATAATATGATAAACGCTAATTTTTAATTCTAATTGATTCTTGATTACACTTCCATTCAGTTTAAAGTACTTATTACTAAATAATTTTCGAGACGTTTTACAAATATGTTCTTCATTCAATTTGCAAATATTTTTCTTTTCGATGTCTGAACTTATAGATTCTTTTGAAATGGGTTGACCCAGATTTTTATTTGAAGAGAAATTCGAAATATTTCTCATCGTTCCACTGAAATAAATTCGTAATTTTATTTGCTTTGATTTTACTTTCACGATTTTCAATTATTTTAATTTTAGATTTTTTAAAATTTTTATTCAGATTTTCACTGTTGAGAAAAAACTTATAAATCATGCATATCGTTTTTTCCAGATTAAAACTTATTTTTTCGTTGGTTCATCGCCATTTTAAATTTCGAAAACCGGAATTTCGTAATTATTGAAACATGTCTTATCATCTTCATCGGCTCTATGAAATTTTCCGTAATTCTCGTTTTTTGTAAATAATTTTAAATTTGAATTCAGTCAAAGCAATCGTTTTGTGGCCACATACGTTAAATTGCTGAAGATTCACAAAGAGGTGAATCAGAAAGAGAAATAAAAATTGAAAACAGGGAGGAAGGAAAATATTGTTAAAGATCTCTCGTAACGACTGCTAAAACCTATGGTGGTTGTTGCTTATCGCTTTGCGCGTCACCGTCAACATTCATATTTAGCAAAAGATCAAAAGATCCGAGTTATGCATACATTCATTCTTATTTTCATTATTTATTATAATTTATCTGTTGAAGAATAATAAAAAGTCAATGGCACTAATTTAAACTGGAATTCAGCTTAAATTTTTAAAAATTTAAATTTTTCAAAAAATTTTTAAAGAATGAAGACAATTAACTTTAAATAATAAATGAAATAATAATACTGATTTACCCGAATTTCCAATTTTTTTTGTTTTAATGCTTTCTGTTGGAAAGTTTTTGCATTTATATTGTAAAATCTCCTTTTTCTTATAAAACCGAAAAGTAGAAAAAAAAATTTTTTTTAAATCGAATTGAATTTCTTCATTCTTTTGAGATTTTTTTTGAATTCTAATATTATATATGAAAAATATTTGAGAGATTGGCGATAATTTGCTAATTTCTCATTAGTTTGAATCTTCTTTCTTCAACCAATATCTCTGTTTTTAAATATTTTTTATTTGTCATAAAAAGTAATGCAGGAGGGGTTAACACGTGTTTCGGCGGATCAGCAGAATCAGAAATGAAGTGCTGTTTGAAGAAGAAGACTTACTGTTTCGAAAATTCACGACTTCGCTGATGAATATAAAAATAATAAATAATGCGGCATATAGGATATTTTTAAAACCTGGGATTTTTCATTTCTGCTTTCGTTGAATGTTTTTATGTCTTTTATTTCTTGCAGTTACAGATTGTTTCTAACAAATAATTCATTCTGGCTTAATGAAAGGAAACGTTATTCGAGCTGGCAATGAGCGGATTTAGCAGGTGGTCAGCTTATGGCACTTTTGGTCGGTCACTGAAAACTCTCTTTTTCACTTTGCAGTTCCTTTCGGTGGTAAGCTTTTTACAATATAAACAGCCAGCTTTATGTTTCATTGTAAATTATTGAAAAATTATAATGAAATAATGAAACCAAGCACAACAGCAGATAATGATCGATCGCAAAATATTTCTTTTTTTCAATTAGCCGGTTTGGAGAGTACCTAGGAGAAGGAAGTTAAGGAAGTTAAAGGTGACCCATTTATTTGTTTCAAATGGTCTTCGAGCGATATGCTAGCTCCTCGGTTGAAAAAACAAGTGACTAGTGATAAATATTTGGTTGTACAAAAAAGGGGCTCATTCAGCACAATAATTTTCGAAATAACAGTCTTTTTCAGTTATTTCTGCATCTGGTATTGGTGGATGGCATTTGGTTGGTGCAGACCAGATCGCAGTATGCTGACTTATTGGAACCTAGTCTGTATGTTGATGTGGCGCGTATCATGATCGTCATATCGATTTTCGCGCTCATTAATGCTCTATTATCTGTTTATGCAGTTACAAAAGAACTGCGGTGTATGATCTATTCTGTAGGATTTTCACTGCTAGTCGTCAAGCAAAAAAGTCAAAAAAGATATTTTAGGATGATATATAATCATTAAATGCCTAAAGGAATTTTAAGAAAATTATAAATTTAGAACTTCTTAAAATCTGCGCCACCTACAATCTTTATTCTTCTGAGAACCATTTGAAGAAAGCAGAAAGTACAGATTTCGTAGACACAAAAGGCAAGGCTGAAACGTGCTATATATTAGAATTACATTCAAAGTTCTATTAAGTTATCATGGAACCTGATTCGGATTTTTCGGGTTTGCAATAGGCTTTCTCACATTTTCTATACAACTTATTTTCAGTATGCTATTGCAAGCTTCGTTATTTTTCTGATGCTATTTATTGGTGGAATAATGGGATTCGTCTTTGAGCACCAGGTGAGTTTCTGTCTTTTTTGCTTTTTCTGGTATTTCCCTTATAAAATTGTTCTTAAAATAATTTTAAAAAGTGGTAGCGCTCACTGTTTTCAGTTAAGCTCGCTATACCGGCTGTTAGAATTTCATAGCAGAGAATCACTAAATGATAAGTAATGAGGCTCTTAACTCGAATTTTTAGTGACGTATGGCGTAATCTGAACTATTTAAACATCTTTCTCTACTATTCTGCTTGGGTTTTGAAATAAAAAATGAAAAAAATGAAGTATGCTCTTGACTTTAACTTTGCGAATAGCAAGATTAACCTTGAATTTTCCAAAATTCTTCAATTGTGATGTTCATTTGGGTTGTCTTACCATAAGTAAAGTTTTTTTCTATTAAGCCTATACAAAATTTGATGAAAACTCAAGGAGCGCTTTAAAATTTTTTCAGTTAAGTCACAAAATTCCGCTCCATTTGAAAATGTTGACATCTCTAAGAGAATTGTATGGGATGCCTGAAATGCAAGGAGTCACTCATGCATGGGACGAACTTCAAACAAATGTTCACTTTTTGGCTTTAATTTTTCATCATCCTTTGTTTGGTTTCAGTCATCCTTAATTCCGTTGTCAACTACCAGCCAGCACCTATCCACGATCATATATTTATGTCTTTCATATTTAAATCGATCTTCATATATTAAAATTTAAGGAGAAAATTCTATTTTTCTTTAGTTCCAATGTTGCGGAGTTAATGGTAGTGATAATTTGCATGTGTGGAGGACATCGAAGTGGTATATGCGACAAAAGGAACCGAAACAATTATTACCTCTATCATGGTTATTTTTTCCGATTTCTAGTCCCAATTCTCTTCAAAATGATCCATTAAATATTCATAATGGAACTGTGATAAATGAAATATGAATTATAAGAAATTCGAAACATGCCATAAAATATTCGATATAATGAGATTTTTGCAATTTTTCAATGAATAACGAAAATTTTATCATAAAATTGTGGCCAATATTCTTTAAAAATAATTTTCAAAAAATAAAGAAATAAAGGATCTTTAAAAAAGAATAATTTTCACATTATTCGGAGGTGTATTTTTTACAGTTGTATACGAGGCATGGAAGCATTTTGTCTTAAAATGAGCCTTTCACATGAAACAGATGCATATGAGAACTTCGCACATGTGAAAACATGCTATATGCACTTAAGGTCCGATCTGCTTAGGGTAATGAATATTGCTGCTTGGTTAGTAGTAGTATGTGCATCATTAATGGTATGAATTTACTGATTTTAGCAAAATTTTTTTTCTTCCCATTTTAGAAAATTAATTTAAAATGAAAAATAGAGTTTGGAAATTTTTTTAAAAGTTTTTAAATTGTTCCTTTTATTTTTTCTATTTTATTTCTACCTTTTTTTGTCTTTGGCAGGAATAAATTTGAAATCTAAGATCCACGTAACTAAGATCAAGTTAGTCTCCCATCCTTGTACTTTCCCTATGTTATTCTATGGTGAAAAGGTTTGGTCATTTTGGCTCGCCGTTCGAGATGACGCCCATGACGCCTCTAGCCCCGTGGTGCATGCGATAAATATACAAACTGGATCTGGTTAAGTGAAAAAAATCTAGAAAAAACCTGAAAATAATGTGAGCTCTCGAAATATTCGAAAGTTGCCAAGAGAAACGAATAACTGTTTGTTGGCTCCATCATAGTGATCATTACAACGCATCGCGAATTAGGCGATCATTTTCCACACTCCATCTAAATATCGCTTGCTTCTCAGAAGTTCGTATTGCTTAATTCGGGTTTCGAGAGCAATTATTATTAATTATTAAACCTAGCATAGATATTGGCTATATCACTTTAGCACTTCGCATAATTCGGGGCATAGCGATTGTCAACTCTAGAAAATATATATCTAGAAAATGTATAATTGAGTGGAAAACCGATTAACGAGAAGATAAAATAAGTTAACAAAATTAAGACTTTTAGTGGGATCGCCATGGAATAAAACTAGATTTTCATGGAATTTTTCTTTAAATAAAAAGTCAACATTCTTGAACATTATTTTAACTAATTATTATCATTTATTATTATTATTCTATCATTATTATTATAATATTTATTGCTTATTTATTTATCTGTAATCTATTATACCTTTATTATTTATTATTATTATAATTATCATCGTTTATTATCATTATCATTAATATTATTGTTATATTATTATTGTTTATTCCCATCATTAATATTATATTATTTGTAAAGACGTTAAGTTAAAATTGTTTTTTTTTGATTTTTATTTATTCATATTTCTAGCTGAATCTCATATTTCCCTCTTCATTATTCAAATCTTACCAATTTATCCAAATTTTCAGCTTATTCCAGCTTTATTAGCTTCATTATATGCTCGATTAATCAAAAAATAAGAAATAACTCTTATCGGTTATCGATAATTATTGACAATGTTCATTCATATCAAACGAAAATAATACCAGTGAAGATCAAATATATAAAACAAAAAGATTTTCAACAATTTTCCATTTATTTATCCTATATCAGAGCATAAAAATTGATATTTTGCTTCTACAAATTTTCACTTACCATGTCACCAAATAAAACCTATAAAAATTTCTACAATAAATTTCTACATTAATTTATTCGTGGCAATAAATTTGCGGAATTATTGTATAAAACAATATAAAATTTTGAAAATATTTGTGAAACAAATATAAAACATAAATTAATCCCAACATACAGGGGATAGAATGGCTCAGTTGTTGTTTTCATTTAAAATAAAGATGAGCTTAATTATGAAAAAATACTTAAAATTTAAAATTAAAATTTAAAAAATTAACGTTTACTTACTATAAGCTTATTTATTTGCCTACAGTATATGATGAACAAATAACTATAAATGCAGTTTTTTCCTTTTCTCAACAAAATTTGGTTTAAAAATTGGAATATGAATTGTCATGTATGGACTGAGAAGATTTTGGAAAAAATATAGAATTTCAAATAATCCTTATAATTGTTACTATAGTCTGAGGTACGATACGATGGAGTGTAACATTAAAACCACTTCAGTAATTATTTCCACAACTGTAACGATTACGCTTCCTTAATTCAGCGAATCTACGCAGTTTAGCGTAAAAGCACACTTCGAAGAATGTGCCCATAAGCTGAAATGAATTTTATCAAGTTTTTTAGAATAATATCGTTTCTAGCATTTTATTATTAATTTATCAGACTGAAGTACAGCAAAAACTGTGCAAAAATTATAAAAAATGGGAATTTTAAAAGTAATTAACCTGTATAATAATAACTGCAAAAACAATTCCACAGATAACAAAGAGTTGTTCTCGCATATAATTCGTCAGATATCTCAAACATCCCTTGAAAATGGATTGAGGATTAATATTATTTAATCTAAAATTTAAAATTTGAGAAAAATTTAGAATTTAAAATTTTCATATATTCGATTTATCCGGAGCACATATCTGTGCTTTTATCTCCAAATGATCCCCTGAGACGTAGGCTATGTTTTAGATGGAAGTGAAGCCAGTTAAATCAGAAATAACGACTGCTTTTTGAAAAATAAGACATTTCGATGTTAAGAGGTTTGCTAACGAATCGTATTTACTGTGCAATTTTGCGGTGAAACACCTCATAAAAGATGTTAGATGGATGATCTCTTCGTCCACAGTCAATTGAAGGTGTACGACAACAAAAATCGGGCACGGCAAGGTCAAAACGACGACTTTCAGATAACGCGGCTGTATTCACATTTTGCCACCAAACTGAATCACGCCAGTTTTCAAATGAAGTTGCACCGCAGCATTTACCCTGTAAAAAAAATTATATGGGGAATTATATGGCTTCGAATATGGGAAAAATTTTTGTTGAATTTTCATAAGAATGAATCCAAAAGAAGAAGTCTATCAAATTTTACTCTCGTGAAAGAAAAAAAGAAACCTCGAGATGAAGTTTCTCAAGTGCTTTGCTAACTGCAGTATGCATCGAATGGTCGCGGATCAACAATACTTTTAACGAAACACTCAGTTCGTTGCCAACGTTTTCAAAATATGCATAAGTGAATATACAAAGAATTCCTTCTAATATTAATAATGCAAGCAATGACAAAGTGCCCTGTAAAACGCAAGGACCTAATTAAAGGAAATTGTAAAGAAGAATTTACACTACATCTACACTTTTGAAAAAAACGAGGAAAAAACGAAATGAATGAAGATTCACTGAGAATTTAAATTTTGCTTATAAATTCTTAGATCTGATTAAAATTTGATTTGATCTTTATAGCTATGGAAACTAAGATCGAACAACTTGCGTAATTCTGCACTATGGTATGGTAAATGGTTATCACTTAATGGTTATTTTTGGTTACAACCGCTCCACTAGGTGCTAAAAGGATGAGATAATTTTTCAGGTGCCACTTGTGATGTACAGTTTTTTCTACAGATTTTTTTGCCAACAATTTGCTCAAGCCAGGATAATAGCTGAATAATAATGATGTGCGATACATCTCGATAATTTAAGCAACAACCAGTCGATTACTCTACGCGCACAATTGTACATCGAAGATATGTTAATCTTTAAATTTATATTATGGAGTAAATTAACATTGATAACTTACGACGAACACGAGTGGCGAACGTTCTTTCGATGTAGCAGCGCAACCAAAAAAACTTAGAATAAAAAGCAATATACCAATAAATAAACATAAGTATATCGACAACTGATAACTGTTACTTTTCAATAATATTCTATAATCCCATTTGTATAAAATTGACCAAACACTTATTCCTATCAGCGAAAGAGCAGAAAGCTGAAAAAGAGAGAACTCACGAAGACTTATCAGATCTCATGTTATAGACTCAATTCAGTCACCGTCACTACAGTCTACATTATACTTTTAATAAAATCTCTTTCTCCAAGTTCTTTTTCTTCTCCTAATGGCAGTCACCATTTTTGATTTGGCTATAGGGAATAGAACTGATCATGGAAATAAAAATCATAATCATTTGTAATATCGTAACACTCGTAATAACTTTAACAGATTAAACACATCTAAATATATCCATTTGTGGTAAGGAAAATCTGCAGTCTGGTCTCGGTGTCCAAAAAAAGTACAGAATACAGAGTACAGAAAAGTATAAAGCTTAAGAATAATCAAAATTCTATAATATCAATTTTATCTTTACACCAATTATATTCGAAAAAATGAGTAATTATGAATTAACTAACACAAAATAAGAAGTTGAAAAAATAGCTGATAATTTTTAACAAATTGAAATCACAACATGAACCGTCATCCAAATCCTGTCGTCGATTTCTTGACATTCTGAAAGTAAATGCAATTTAGAAATCTAACAAAAATGTTGTTAATTTTATCACTTTTATCGGTTTTAAATAGGATTTTTCAAATTCATTTCAATTAGGTCAAAGAAAATTAAAGTTTTTAGTTAATTTCTGAGATATACAACTAAAATAAACTTCATGATGAAATACTCAACAGTTCATCGACATTTATCTGTGTAAAATGACTTAAATGATATATTGATAATAGATTTGAATAATATATGATATATTTCTAATACTATTTCTTGTTTGTATAAATCTATTTCTTGTTTCTAAAAATTTTGGAGATAAGAAATTCATCGACAGTTGGCTATTTATCTTAAGTTGAATTATTATATCCGCTTGCAAAGCCTCATCCTTTATAGTTAGCGGAAGCAGCCTAAACAGTAAAAGTGGGAGCTACTAAAGAGCTACTAAACAAAGAAGAATTATTCGGTCAGTAAAAAGCTCATAAAAAGCAAAAGAATCTTTGCAGTTAAATTTATTTAATTTAAATTATATTTAGCGAATTATATTCGCGATATATTTATTTATATTTATTAATATATATATTTATTTATTTATATTTTATATTATAAATAAATAAATATATAAACATATATATTTATTTATAATATAAATATATTTATTTTGAGAGCGGAAGAGTGGAAACTTATATATATTCACCAAATTTAACCGAATCAATGCAACAAAGACATTTCTTCAAAGGAAAAAATTAAATAAACGAAGCACGAATGTTTTACTATTATGAATTTCCCATCGAAATTTCACGATTTTCCGTAGCATTAAGCAGCGGGTGCTGGCAACCCACCCATACACCTATCTCACGCTGCCAACAGCCAGACGAGCAAGCTTAACCACAAATGGCGAATATTACCCACACATACAAATTGACGCATTGAATAAAGTAATATGAAGCGCATCAAGTGCAATAATAATATATTATTATAATGTGCAATATAATATAATAGAATTTTATATATAATAGAATAGAAAATATATTTTAAGTTAAAGGCAATTTTTGCAGAATGTGAAATAATATGAGAAATAAAAAAATTAGAAATTACACAACAAACCGTATTGTATTGACGATTTCGGTATTCCGCGAGTAAAAGAGTAATTAATACTAATTAAAACTTCAAAATCACGAATAGAAATTGCTTTTGACATATATTTTTAGATAAGTATGTTGAATGAATTCACTTTTCACTTTAAAAAGAATTTCGTTTTTGAATTTTTGAATAGTAAATTTTAGTCAAATTTTAGATTCTGCCTCCCTGGTTCTTACAACATTTTTGGTTTGGTTACTCCACTGCTGATCAGAATGAGACATCTTTGCCAGAGAGGATAAGAGAAGAGGAGAGGACATTGATGGGTTCCCAGCACTACTCAGATCATAGTTTTTAGCGAATGGCCTGTTTTTGCTAGGACGAGAACCGGTGCTTGACCTATGAGTCGTGGCATGACGTTGAAACAACCACTTGAACAGTGGATGCAGTGGGCAATAAGTTTGCTAAATTTGCTATTTTTCTTACTTTAAATGATGGTAAATATTTTCATAATTATTGAATTTAAAAGTTTTAATTTTAATTTTATTGGAAAAAATCACGATAATTATCTATTTATTTCAAAGAATATCAAGCAGATCCATGCGCAACGAACAAAAGTTATAACATTAAAACAACGCTTTTATATTATTCATGGAAATGAAATAAAACTAACAAAATTATACTAATTATCACTGATTACTTACTTAATCAACATAGATTAAAGCTGAAATTTTTAGGTAATGATTTAAGCAATTTCAGTAATTTAATAAAAAAGTAGATAAATGTATTCAATTTAGTTATAAAACTAGATAATGCTGGTGCAAAGGTGCAAAGACTTCCGAAATGTAGTTTATTCCACTACTTAATAGTGCGCACGAAATATAAAAACTATGAAACATTTTTTTAATCTCATAGACTTCAATATTTTCAAACGACTGAAATTATCTAAATTTAAACTTGAAATATGGTACTCAGCATTCTTAATGAGTCCAAACCATAAGTTTAAGTGAGTTTCGACGTGCAGTTGAATTCGAATTTAGACAGCGTAAGAACTTATAATTTAATTCATATTTTTTTAATAATTTGTTATGCTAAAATAGTTTTTTCTCAAAAGTCACCTGTTTATTTATAAAAAACTCATCCATATCATGAAAAATCTCGATAAAATCTCAAATCTTATGAAAAAGCGAATAGTACGTTTATCGAGCATTGATAACGTTCAACTGTGGCTTATTTACAAGAAAAATCAGAGAAAATATAATTTAAAACCAAAAAAATATTTTAAAAGACTGGAAGAAACGTAAAAGTATGGATGGAATTTATACGGCTTAAAGCACAAAAGACCTTATTGCATTAGAGAAATATAGATAAATGCTCAACGAGCGCGATTTAATGCATAAATCAATGGGAAAACCAGCGAAATTTTCTCAACAGAATTTCATTTAACATATAATTTTGTTTCTAATATTTTACATGTCGAAAATTTGCACTAATAGTACGAAGAATAAATGAAATTCTGAATAAATGAGATTTCCAAGTTTGTCGCCGTCAGTTTTTCGAAAAAAAACGTTTCTGGGTGGTTTTTTTACTTACTGTTAGCAACAATTACTGTCGCACTCATAAAAGTCCTCTCAAATCGATCACTAACTTCACGACTTAATTGTTTTAATCAATTAATTATAAGGCAATAGCAGCAATAAAGATGATAATAATAGTGATAATGAAAAGATAAAAGAATGAAAAAACAAAATAACCAATAAAATAAAAAAACTTGCTATAAAGTGAAAAATTTTAAAAATTTTTAAGAATTTATAGCCTTGGAAATCGTAGCACTCACGCTAATAAAATAAGCGAGAAATGTTATTTAACTGCAATAGAGTGGTGCGTGGTTGGCTTAGTGGCAAAATGATTGCTACCGAGGATCGAATGGCTCGCTGTCGAGCTGTAATGTCGCCGAAGAGCGAAAGAAGAATGGGATAGGGTGGTAGAGTGCGTTGTTACTCAGTATCAAGCACAGATGCCGAGGCCATATGCCAGACATGATTAAAGCTGTCCAAGAATTTAGGTGGTGCTGGCCACTTCTATCACCAGGTGACAACTAGCAGAATTGGTCAGCTAAGCAAGTGCCGAGCTTAATCAGCACTGATGAGAGCTCTTGGAAAAAATGGCAGAAATAACGTTCTGTACTTTAGGGTTCGAGTTTTATTATGAATTTAATTTATTTTAATATTTGAACAAAATATGTTTCTTTGCTTATCGAAAATACAGTCATTTTCTGGCTAGCTCGCTCCGTTGGCCATTGGTACGACAGGGCAAGCCATGCAGTCGTTTAGCAGGTGAATATTACTCGGGCTCCTATCAGAATGCAAGAGTCGAACCTTTGTTTCACAACGCACTAATAGTAATACGTACTCTCTACTCGGCTGTTCTGCTTTTCTTTCTGTTATTTATAAAAATCAATCACTAAAAATTTGAAAAATTTTTTGATAAATGAAAAGAATAGAAAAATTTAGTTCGCATGGATCGGAAATTTTTTATTATAGAAGTTCTCTTGATGTTAAAAATATTTCGAATGGCCAAGATTCGGAACAGCAAATAGCATAAACAAATAAATCGAGCTTAGTTTCGTATTGATTGTTAATCAAAAGATTTGCCATCTGCGCACGGTGGACATTGGTCATTCAGTTCGTCAAAAATGTGTCATGCTGATTTATTATTACTGCAAAGGCTATTGCCCTCATTCGTTGCTGTGGACTTACTATTGGTACTTTTACGCAATACTTACTCAACATAAATTAACAATAATGGTTTATAGCTGATAAAAAAACGACAAATTGTTAGCAAGAAATAATAACAATAGCTATTATAATAATAGTAATAATTAATAAGAATAATTAGTAATGATAATTATTATTATCACTAATGTAGTATTAATAATAATAAATATTTTTGCTGGCCGACAACCTTTCGCCAAACAAATTTTTTTTTGATTTCCAGTTTCAAAGGATTCTAAAAAAATAAAGAACAAGGATAAATTATAAGACGAATTCGTATGTTCGTAGAACGTAAAATAATTTAAAATAATTTTTGTATTTTATAAGCACTTTTTAATTAAAAAAAGGTGATTGCGCCCATTATTTTCTTCGTATAATTCACAAAATTGCACAGTTTTTATTAGTCAATGGAATCGATTCGCCGTCGACCATCAAACAAAATGGAATTTTCATAAACAAAGGTTTTATCGCCAAAAGCTAAAAATAATAGTTGGAAGAAGAGTATTAAACATTCGAGCTTTTAAGAGAATTTATGGATAGGACGAAGAAGTTTTCTAGATGTTGGAAAACCTAAGTTTTTTCGGCCAAGCTTGGCATAAAAAACATTCCTTGGAATTCGAAAAAAATTTATTTGAATAGTGGTTTTTTTTGATAATTTATAGATATATTTCTTAAACTTCATATTTATATTTTCTTTATTTGAATTTTACATTTATCCTAATTTATATTTAAACTTTACTTTAGATGGAAAGGTATATTGGAAAGGTATATGGAAAGATAAGGAAAGGTATGGAAAAGTATATGGAAAGGTATGGAAAGATAAGGTATGGAAAGGTAAAAGTAAGGTAAAGGTATAAAGGTATTTTTTCAGATGGAAAGATGATGGAATGTGACGGTATCCTAGAGAACATCTTTCGACTCATAAGGGCATTTTATCAGCGTACATTGGCGCAGATCTGTGTATATGGGAAACTAACAGACTCCTTCGAAATAAAAACTGGTGTTCGTTAGGGCTGTGTCCTTTCCTCTACAATATTCAGTTATGCGATAGATTGGATGATGGATATGTCGGCTCTCAAGAGGTGTCCAAATCAGTCCAGTGCATCGTATCAGTCCAGATCTTGAATACGCTAATGATGTAGTTCTTTTTGCTGACAAT